GAAGAATTATGTACCTACTTAAAAACAGCAGCCAAATGGAGAAACATCCCTCATTAATTTTTGTCTACTTTTAAAATGAATGCATGAACATTTTGAAGACATATAAACATAAAGAAGAAAATAAAATAAATATTCATAATCTCACAACGCAATGTGGATCACTATTACCATCTGATTAGTTGCAAATGGGAAATTATTTAATGTTTTAAATAATTTAACATTTTAAACAATAATAATTTAATTACATATATTTACACAGTTGATGTCATATAGTCTTCATCCTTTAAAATGTTTTATAATTATATTATGAACATTTTCAGATGTTAACTTTTACCAAAAATATCATTTTTTATCATTATATAACATTCCATGATATGGATATATATATAATTAACTCAAAGATTGTCCTATTATTATAATTTACTGTATTTCTGCTTTTATCAATGACCCAGTGAAAATATTTATCAATAAAATATTTCACTTCTTTGTTGTTTATTTCCTTTGGATAGAATATGAACCAATGGTTAATTCTGTTATTTAAAATTGAATTTTAAATCTACATTTTAATTTAATGTGAATGTAAATCTTCTTCAGAACTTTCCTGGATGGTGGTCTTGTTACACATTATGGACAAATACTTAGTCTCCATACCTAGTGTTTTCTCGCTTGTCTTTCTCACTAGGTTGCTATTTGGACTAATTGCACAAAAGCAATTCTAGGTAAAACTATTGGCTCCTTAGAACGAAGGAATGCAACAACACTAACTATGGGTAAGCATTGTATTCTTTACTACCAGGCATCCACAGTCAATAAAATGTGTGTGCACAGATACTAGTAAATCTTGGCCCCTGAGTATGTCTTCTTAATATTTTGTGTGATCAAATTGTAAGTACACACAAAGCACTTCTGCTACAAGACAAAGCATGATAGTTATCTTGAGGAGCAACACTTGTATGACTTTGAATTGAGGCTGAATTGTGCACTTATTTCATGGAACACCATTTTTACATGAAAGAATGAATAGAGAGAAACTATGGCTACTCCAACTTGGATATATGGCAGACATTTGCTCAAGAGTAAATAAAGTGATTCTGTCATTTCAAAGAATGGAGCTGACAGTGTTTGCTGCCAATGAAAAATTCAAGCTTTATAGAGAAAGTTGTATTTTTAGAATGCTGGCATCCACCACAATGAACTTGACAGCTTCCTAACACTTAAAGAATTTTCTGATGAAACTGGTGGTGATATCTAATCAATAAACTTTTTGATACTATATAATGATATGTATCACCTAATGGAAAATATTCATGATTCAGGGAGCCAATATATTCCAGATAACCAATACATGATATTACAAAACCACATAGTGATAAAAGAGTCAATCAAAGTGTAAGGCAGACCAATTAATTTTAAAGTAACAGAGCACAAAAAGTTTACTGACCCTGTTTCAGGTTTCACATTGCAACTAATTTTCAGGAATCTAGCAGGACTTTGTCACTATATCAAAGAAAACTATTCACAGCTACCTGAAAAGTAACTAAATGAACTCACATCTTGCAACTACATATGTGTGTGAAGCCAGATTTTCTTTCTCTACTTCAATCAAAGGCATATATTTTAACAGACTGATTACAGAAGCAGGTATGGGGGTTCCACTGTTTTCTAATAACTAGACATTAAAATGTGAAACAGTTGCAGTATTCTCCAAAAAATTTTGTTCTTTAAATACAGTTTCACAAATAATCTATCACTTAATGAAAATCTATAATGGGTTTATTATTATCTTTAAATAAAAAAATATTAAATTTTTTTTCATTTAAATTTCTAATATGGTAAACACCACAAAGATACTCCACAAAAACAAAAGTTTTTGGATACTCAATCATTTTGAAGATTGTAAAGGGGTCCTGGGTCCAGAAAGTTTGAGAGTCCTTGATTGAGACTCCTAGAAGATAGATTATTCTTCACAACATGACATGGGTGAAAGGAGTTGGAGTCAGCCTCTGTGTTGTTCACTGGGTTACTAGATAAGTAATGATCATCATAATAATTTATGCAGTATATGGCATGTGTCCTTGCTGCTCTAAGTGTTTAACTCACATGACTGAACGGTGTAATCCTTACAGCAAACCTATGAGGAAGGCACCACTATTACTTCCATTTTGTACATGGAAAAGTGAGCCCTGAGATGCTTTTAATCAACTGCTGATAAATAGTGGAGCCAGATGAGAATGAAATCTTACCTTAGAACCTATGAATTACTGTTTGACTACATTCGAGTTCCTGTAAATTATGTAATTTGCATTGAACACAGCACCTCCCAGAAGTCAAGAACGATAGGTGAGAATTGCGTAGCCTCACATGGGTAGATGTTCTATAAATACTGGTACTTTAAAAAATATGCAGATTGGGAGAAGGAAATTGTATCAAGATGACTTTATAGGGAAATACCATTTCTACAGATTTTGAAAACACATAAAACAGTCCATGTAGTTTTCAAGGATACAGAAGTATCTCAATAAATGTATAGAAGCTGGATTGGGGCAATACTTACCATTACTCCAGATAATTGACTTATTGTGGGGAAACATGGATTGGAAAATAAACCAGTGGGAAAATATATATAAAACAAAATAAAATAAAAATGGCCCTTCACAAAATGATAGTATGCCATGAAGTGAATGGTATTTTAATCAATTTTTAAATTAAAAGTCTACTCCATCTCCCACACCCCATAAAGATATAAATTGCAACTGCACTGAGGAAAAGAATTCTCCCCTCTCTCAGCCATGGTGATGACATACACATGCCCAGCTAACTGTGGGAAACAGGCAGGTCTTTCTTTCAGCCCCTACTTCTACTCAGCCCCAGAGATTTTGACCCTCATCTATGAGGCTTTCCTCAATAAAGAAAATGGAGAGCTGAGGGCCTTCAGAATGTGTAAAGAGAACAGAATCCCTGGAAGGACAAGAACACTCATAATGAATCTTTCCAGAAAAATAAAAAATTTGAATATGTGACACAAAATATGTTTCATTAATTATTAAATCTATGCACCCTTTTATTCCACCTCTCCATGATTTTCTTTTCACTGGAAAAGGAAATATTTATTTCACAATTCAGCTAGCATGACAATTCAGTGAGTCAGTATGCTAACTTTGCAGTAATGTTTTATATCAAAATCATTTTATATTATACTTTCTGTTCCCTAGGCAAACTGAATATTACACTGAGTTTTCCTTAACTAGCATTGAAGTAATGAAAATTGTAATTTCATTCTTGAAACGCCCTCATGCCCTCCATCTTGTTAACACAGCCTTATCTTGTACCTCCTAAATAGAAAAACCCGACATTATAATGTCATTTTGTGGGCTCCCAGAGATTTTTCTCCCCCTGTCTCTTTGGGTGGGGACTCCATCACTCCAGTTCCCAGCATACGTGTAGTCCTCTCTACTTCTAAATCACCTTGGGATCTCTCCTTCCACCAGTCAAGGAATTGGATATCATTATACAGCTAAATATTTGTAGAAAATTGTCAACTTCCAGTTGATAGAACCAGCCTTCCCTGACAGGTTGAATCCAAGAAAAGGAACGAAGACAAATGCTGAGTTTAGGGTCTCAGCTACTTTTAGGCCTCTTTTTCTTGGCTTCCTCCTCTATAGCATAGGTTCAAAGTATCTTCTTCTCTTATAACTGTAACTTAAAAAGCAAGGACCATCTCTACAAGCAGACCTTGTCTTTTCTACATGGAATCCATGCAGTGAATAGTCTCAAAGTGCAGATGGGAGACAGCTCCTTAGGCTAAGGCTGCTGAATATGAGATGTCCCAAATGGACACATGAGTTTGTGGAAAGTTATGGAAGAAGACAAATTTCTAAATCCTGAGCTGTGAACTTAATTCTTCACAGACACACTTATTTTAAAGTAAAATCTACAATTTCCTCTTTGCATGGAGCTAGCTAAAATATGATCTAAAGAAAGGAAGAAAGCCGAAAAAAAAAGTAAAAAAGGTCTAAACATTTCCCAGGATTTTAATTCCATGAGGTATCATTTGGTCTAAGACTTACATAGAAGTTGCCTGGTTTCTTACAGTTTGACCCATTCTATGGGCATGCCAAAGCTTTCCCCGGGTATCATTTTTGGGCCCCTTTCTCCAGGAAGCTGGTCTTTTCTTATCTTAAATCCTCAATTCTTTCCATCTACTTTAACATTAATTTCAAGAAGCAGACAGAATGTCCGTTGGTCCTGAAACACAATACCCATGCTTGTAAACTTATCACATTGCCTTATTTTTATCTTCATTATTGGGAATTTTAAAAATTATGTCCTCCTCTGTTACCTCAGGTTCTAAGTAAGTTGAAACAAAATATTTCATCAGGCAAATGACATCTCATGGGTTAGTAGGTCTTCCTCAAAGTATTGCATATGCCAGTACTTCTTTATACAAGGCTTACGGTTCATTGGTATTAGTTAAAAATCAAGGTGCCATCCTTAATTTTCATATTCTCCATTATATGTCATGTAATCTCATTTAGTTATTTCCTAATTCTGGTTGCTGTGATGTTTTTCTTTTATTATGTTGTCTTATAAATCATTTGAAGAGTAAAATCTAGATTCCAGATACTGTTATGGTTGTCTAATACTAGGGGAAGTATTTCACTTGTTTCTAGTTTTAAAGCCATTGCTATAAACTTCCCTCAGTAAAATTCCACTGACTCCTTTTGTCTTTAGCAGTTTCTGCACATTAACAGTGGTAACATTCTGTTGGCAAGCATGTAAGGGTCTGCCTGAGGAGGAATAACCTTTGAGCTTTTATCATAAAAGGACACATATTTTTCTAAAGGAGCAACGCTGGAAATGAAGAGTTGAGAACCAACTGAGTCAGGTTCAAACTCGCGCAAAGGCTGAGATCTGCGGACTTTGCAGAAGGCCCCTCCCCTTCTCCCTCCTCCTCGCGCCTCCCGCCCTCCCCGCAGGGCGCGCTGCCGGGAAGCGCAGGCTGAGCGCAGAGCTGCAGCCGACTCTGCCCGGGCAGAGCGTGCGCCTGACAGTCCCCGGCCTAGAGAGGTGACGGCCGCGGCACCTCTGTCCGCCTTCAGTCGCTGGGCGCCCACGCGGACCATGTTTTCCAGCCCTAGGAGGTGGGGCCCCGGCGGCCCCTACGAGCGGGTCCCATGGGGTCCCGAGGCACAGGTAAAACTCATTGGTCCTGGGGGCGGAGGCGGGGCGGGCTCTGGCCACTCTGGGTGGGGAATGGGAAGCAAGGAGAGCGGACTGTGCAGACCTTGAACTGGTGTCTTAGGTCCTTGTTTTAATCACACGCTCACTCGCTCGCTCGTGAGAGCTGAGGGAAGCTCCAGGATGGTGTGAAACCTGAGCCATCACGATCCCAGGCCAGGTGGCTGCTAAAGAGAGAAAGAGGTATCTTTGTTTGAAGGAGAAAGTGACCCCAGCGTAAACATAAACTAGCATTTAAGAAAAGAACGAATGGACCTGGCAACCTGAAGGAGAAGAGGTTGGGACGGAGTTCTGCCACTAGTGGTAGAGCCCACTAAAACAGCAGGATACGTTCGAGAAAAATAGTGCTCTGTGTATTAACTCACGTGGTATTGGAGCACTGATGTCTGAAGCGAATCCAGGAACTGCAGACACGTTACTGTGCCTTGCTCTGCCCCCAGGATAACCCGTGCTTCTTCCACAATAGAAGTCATGTGCTAAAGCAGTAGTAGAGGGAAATGAGCCTTAACAAAAATTCCATTTGTTTTATTTCTCATCAGAGTCTTAGAAATACCTCTTAACACAAGTAGTTCTGTGGTTCTAAAATGGAAAAAAAAAATTCAGATTCGGGAGACCTTGTTCTAATCCTGCCTTTTGTTAGTAACTCCAAATGTCAAATCAATAGGACAGCTATTCTTCTTATTACGTATCAAATCAAACTATACATCTTTAAGAGTAAAACATTATATGTAAAGCACTATAAAAGTAGGTGTTGAATAAGTCCTTTGAAAATGTGAAAGGGCTCCAGGAACATACATCTTTTTTTACAGTAGACATAGCAGGCTTAATTGGAAAAACTGGTTTAACATCTTCAGTGTAACTGAAGAGGTGGCCCAAGGCAATAAATGACAAACTTGTGGAGTTGGAAATTATGAATCTCAAACCATTCTCTCACCCAAAATCCCAGTCAGCTCCTCCTTTAGGATTCCAAAAATGTTTATTTCCTTGACTACTATTCAACCTGGGTGGCTTTATGGAACACACATCCATTTACACAGGGTTGAAAATGTTCATTTTAATTGCATTTTCTATTTGTTACTTTTATGAAGACATATTTTTAAAAAGTTGATGGCTTCAAAGGTTAATGTTAAAAACCTTGCATGATTATATTTCATTGCTGAGACTTTTTTGACCTGCTAGATCTCAGATAAAAATCCCCACCAAATTTATAAGCTAAGAACATGACTTTTTGATTAAGTTTCTAGAACTGGCATGGTGACCTATGAATAGAATGCTAAGTGTTTTTCATTGGCAGGGATTAGTGTCCATTTATTCATTCATTCATCCAAATGTGTTTATTGTGAGCCAGGCCCTGGGCTAAAATTGGAAATACAAAGATATAGTTCCTGTCCTCCAGAGGAATTAAGTCTAGCAGGAGAGAAGCACCTGTCAGCACGATTATAGATAATCAGGTAAGAGTGAGGGTAAATTCAGTGAGGAGAGACCTCAAGAGCCCTTAAAACTCCCTTAAGGAATATGTTGAGGTTGCTATGGCAACAGAACAAGAATCTGAGCCTTGGAGGCTGGGAGGAGAGGAGAGGAATTACCAAAGGCTGTAAATCCTAAATAGGGTTGAAGCACAGGTTTTAGAGTTAGCCAGAACTGAGTTAGAAGGAAGTGGGCAGAAGGAAAGAGATCTCTAAGTGAGCAGCAAACAGCATGTAACAGGTAGAGCTGAGAGTGTGAAATTACTACTAGAAGATAGAATGAACTAACTGGAGTAGACCAGTGTTTTATACTTCTTAGCTGGAGGATCTTGGACACATTTCTTAAAGTCTGGGCTGTAGTTTCCTCTTTTGTAAAATGGGGATGATAAAAATGCCCTCACCAAAAGACATGTTATATTTAATGAAATAGTATACTTGATACATCATCTGGCACATAAGAGGTGATTAAGAGACATAAATTCATTTTGATTTCTAGATGTTTCCCCTTTGTCATGAGCCTGTTCTTTTCCATACTTCCTTCACTATTCCCAGAACCCTCTTCCAATACTTACAAGCGAAATTCTTGAAGTTAAGGGTTATGAGATACTGGTAAATGCAGCAGTCACAAGGCTATCTCAGGCTGAATCCAAGGAAGATTGAGAACACCACACTTCAGTAAATCCTGGACCCTGACTATGTCAGGTCCTCTGGTTTAAAGACTTACTGCTCTTCCATCATAATCCAGCAATTACACGATCTCCATTCAAATGAAGATTGACCTTAAGTCAGCAATGTTAAGGTATGTTTGTGGGATGTCTACTGTATGCCCAATGGAAGGCAAATAGACAATAAAATGTCTTAGAAAACAGAAATCTGTAGTAGGCTTCGGGAGACAAAATGAGACTCTCACTAGGGGTCGGTTAGGCCTGCAGACCAAGGTGCTGTCCAAGTGAGAATAAGTGGGTTAGAATGTTTGAAAGACATTTCATAGAGAAGATAGGAGTAAATTGGAGCATTGAAAGATGCTCTCAGAACTGTCATGTTCTAGTTTTCTAGATACATGTTGCTTTGTAGCATTATATCAGTAATAAACTCAGTGAGACCCATGATATGAATTCAGTAATTGCTTATTTACTGACAAGTCATTCACACATTCTTGGCGCTTGGTAAGGCTTAATTACCTTTATCAAATACTTGCCTACTATTTTCTTCTGGGAGGTAAACATGCTTGGAATGCATTGTGATATCAGCATAAGATGCCTGGCTCACATCTAAGAAGGCTGTTTACCAGAGGACTCAGAAGGCCTCAATGTAAAATGCTTTCACATGGAAAATGGGCCTAGAGGGAATGTGAAACCAAATATGAGTTCATGATTTTTCTGGATCAGCTTGACTGATCTCTGCTGAGGTCTGTTAAGCATCTACTATCAGCTGAGTGGTAGGCTGATGGCTGGATAGTCTAGGACCAATTTATTCATAGTCCGGCAGTTTTTGAGTAGTTGGCCAGGATGACAGACTGTCAGATGAGCACCTCTGTTCTGTGTAGTCTCTCATCCTCTAGTTGGCTAGTTTGGGCTCAGACACTAGTGCACTCAAGTTCCAATCATAGCAAACCTCTTGAGGTGTACAATTGGAGTTCTCAAGAAATGTCACTCCGATTGTATTCTTATGATTAAATCAAGAAACAATGTCAGCTCAGACTCAAGGGGCGGGGAGTAGTCTACTTCTCGATGGGAAAAGCTGCTAAGAATTTATATAGCCATTGCAGACTGCTACAGAAACGTGTATGCTTTGGATGTGAATAAGATCCTGCCAAATTATCAAGTTCACAACTCCCTGTGAAATAAAATGTGATATCCAGGTTAATTGGAGAATTTTAAGAATAAGTATTATGTGTACTTATTTTCCAAATCGTGTGTTTGGTAGCAATAGTAGTAATGATGATATCATAGTTTACGTTTGAGTGGTTGTTTTAGGTCACAGTGTGAGAAATGTTTTACATTGTCATTTCATTTACTTCTTGCAACAGTCATATGAGGATAGATACCTAATAAATTCTGTATATCTTCAATGACTTAGAATTCAGTAACTCAGAGAACAGCTTTGGAGTACATAGCATGTTCTCTCCCTTATACTCAGGATATTTTGCAGAACAGTATGGAATTTTGTTTCACTCATTCCTTCTAGGATCAACATTTTTTAATGTGCTTGTGCTAAACATTTTTTGGGTATGAAATCAGAACTAGATTAGGAAGTATCAGTGCAAAAATTTTAAAATATGGAATGATTTCTAAGAATTAGATTTAATGTAATGATCAGTTTTACTTTTTAAAATACAGAGATTGAGGCTGACTCTAAAAATATAAAGTGTTATCTTTTGAGGACTTCCCTTTTATACCCCTTTTCTTTTGGTTGAACTCACCAGGTCAGTGGGAAGGATTTTATGGAAATGTTATAACCCCCCCCTCAAATATGTAATTATGATAAGTGTATAATTGTGTATGTATTTATACATTTATGTAAAAATATGTAATTAAATATACAGTAGTAAGTAAACCAAATGCCTATTATAGTCTCTTATTTTTATATTTTTCAGAGAAAAGTCAAAGTTATCTTTAATTTAGCAATTAAAATATCTTAAATTTAGCTTAAACATATATATAAGTTAAATTATATGTATACGTACATATATACATATACATATACAGGGTCATATAAATTCAAGAAACTATATTGAGGGTCTATATATAGTTCCATATATATATATAGAGAGAGAGAGAGTGAGAGAGACAGAAAAATAGGAATTTTAGAAATGGTTTTCCTTTCCTATGTGGTTGTTTGTTATGTAAACAGAGTCATAATGTTGGGAGAAATCTTAATTCCTCTAGGCCAACCACAGTCTACAAATATCTTAGTTGTATTCCTTAAGGATTACTTTATCTACAAAGATGTAACTATTAGTAAAATAAGTTATTTCATGTTTACTCTTCCACCTGCTGACAAAGATAATTCAAATATAAAATAAAGGCATTTTCTTCATATACTGCTTGTTATATTTTTCTTTTTAGAACTGCGGTCCAGAGAAAAGTGCTTCATTCTTCAGTAAGATGACGTTTTCCTGGTTTAGCAGGTAGGAATTTTATTAATTTGTTTGTAGCATACCACACTGAGGATAATTCCAAGGGAAAGGACATCTTAATATACGTGTGAACATTTTTTGACTTTGTAATTATTTTTTTCACATTATTTATCATAGAGAAATCACTGTAACATACTAAATAGTTCCACAGGTTAGACTACTGTTACTCCTGTGATGTGGCCGTCCTTTTTCATGATTTGTATTCCTCTTAGTACTAGGGAAGGGCAGTATTATGAATTCTTTTTTTTTAGCATCCAGGAGTGCTACCTACTTTATATACATTGTTTCACTTAATTCTCCCTCAAGTTCTATGAAAGAAACATTTACAGATGAGAAAACTGAGGCTTAGGAAGAGGAGGTAGCTTACCCATTGATACCCACGTAAGAAAACACTGACTTGGAGTTTCTTTGAATCTATGTTTCATGCTTTTTCTTCACTTTCTCATTCTACTCTTTACTAGGAATATTCCCTATATACTTTCATATGCTATTATTAAAACATGCACACACAATCATTATTATAAGACATATTATGTGGTTTATCCACAGAATAACTCAGCTTTAATGTATGACAAGAGCTTTCACACAAGAATTTGGTCATATTAAATGAGAAGAGATTATTTTTTTTCCTAATTTTATAAATTCAGAAGCTTTCTGTAAAAATGTGTTTCTTGTCCCCAGAACAGAAAGTTTATTATAATATGAAACCAAATCGTACTTCTGTGCCTCTTGCTCTGTAGTTGGTAGTAACAAAATCGTTCAATTTGATCTACAAGTATATTCTTAAGAGTAAAAGAATCCTTAAAAAAAAAGGGGGTGGGGGAAGGTTGTGTACTAGATGCCCTGCATGATGGTAACCTTTAAAAATATAGAGATAAATGACCTAAGAAACACAATTTTCATGAGTGCCACCTAATCAAGTCTGAACATTTAGGGACTGTTTCACAAGTAATTAATGCTCACTCAACACTTAAAAATGTGTAGGAGTGAGCCAACCGGCATTCCAAGTTGAGCAAATATACAAACTATAGAGGTAAGAGGGAACTGACTCCTGCCACACTGCAGAGTGTCCGTGTGGCAAGCCCTCCGGCTCAAAGGAACAATCATAAGGAATTCTCTGCGAGATCCTGAAGATAATGAGAATCCATGAAAGCATTTTAAATTGTGACTTAATTGCTTTTGCACTTCAGAAAATCACCTTTGCAATGTGCGGATGTGGTGTGTAGGGGAAGAAAATGGACACTGAGTGGGTAATAGGCTGTTTCGGTATCCTGGTAGACTTATGGTTACAGGTAGATTTATGGCACAGTTTGATAAAGATGATAAAGAAGAAGGAACAGATTCAAGAGCTGTTTAAGAGATGGAGTTGATTGGGTGAGGAAACTGAGGAACTGGGAAACATGTTGAAAAAAATCTTGGTTTATTGGCTCCGATAACTGTGAGGTTGAAGTGTAGTGAAAAATTGTGTGATCAGTTTGGGGAAGCTTCATTTTGATGCACCTGACTCATCCCCATAAAAAATATCTAACAGGTGTTTATGTAGATTGCAAGCTTAGGTAAACCTTGGATGCATGGATATAGAGTCAGGAGTCATCGACTGTGGGTCAGTAGTTGTAACCATGAGTATGAATGAGATCACGCAGAAAGAGAGCCTATTGAATAGGATGAACAAATGGAACATTGAAAATCCTCAGTATTTAAATGGGGAGAGGAGCAGGAGTGTACAAAGAGAGCTAAGTAAAGGCGTTCAGATTGTAAGAGAAAAACAAAGCAACGAGGGCGACTTGAAAGCTACGGACACTGTCCAAAAGAGAGAAAAATAAAGTGATCCCATGGAGGTACATTAAAGGAAGAACTGAGGATTCTCCATTGAATTTGTCAACATCAACATCATTATGAAAACAGTTTAAATAGGAAACTGATACACTTGGTGAGCAAATATTTGGGTACAAGAGGTTGAATTATGATCAGAACTCCAAGTTACAGAAATCTAGGAATCACTTAAAGAGGGTGGCAGAAATATACAATGATATGCTACATTAAGTTACACTCTAGAAAAAAAGAAATGTTGAATAGAAATTATGCAAATGTGGGTTATTTACATTGAGTTATTTTGTATATGTGCAGACATGCTTTCCAAATCTGAATTATGTTTCATCCATGAGTTGGAGAAAGTGGCATCTGCTCTGGCTTTAAAATTTTCAGAATGTCACTTTTAAGTCACAGGATATCATATAATTTAAATATTGCAAATAAAATTAATTTTAAGCAAATATACTTTTAAAATTTTAATTATCAAACTATAAAAACTTTATGAATTTGTATTAACTATTACAAACACCATTTTAGGAGGTTTAAAGTAAGAAGTTAAAGTTAAATTTAATAGGCAGGATAAGGAATAAGAAATTTTAAAATATGGCAACTCAATATATTGAAGGCCATATCTGAGATCAGTCAAACAAACCAATAAGCTATAATTGTTGAATATCACATTTATTTGCTGTTTAAATGTAATATCTCAGAAGTAAATAGGAAATATTTTCATAGCATGCTATTATCTGCAACTGTTATTGGCATGAATCTAATTTGATTTCTTATCTGATATTTAAACAATTGCAACTGAAGCATAGCTGTTGTTTAAGAGAATGTCTCTTTGAAGACAGTGGTTAATTACATTCTCAGATCTGTTCTGTGTTACAAAATAAAGTCAGAAATTATTTCCTAGGATAGATTCAACCTCCCATAATTATATGAATAATTCAAATAAAATGTGCTCAGATGATACAAATAATTAAGGAATTACATGCTTATGAACCTTAATTCCTAAGGTAGTAGCTGTCTCGAATGTTCTGGTGATCAAATAATTATGAAGCCTTTATTAGCAAATATAATCTGTCATCAGTGTATAATAATTATGGTCATAGAATAATCCCCTTGACATACATGGAAAAAATCTAGTTAAAGATTTTATAGATCACAGTTGAATTATTATTTTAATCAAGTTTACACTATTCAATCTGTCCTACCTTTTCCTCACATTTTAATAAAACTTGTACATTACCTGACTTTGCCCTATCTTATGATTTTGGACTTTATGCCTTTTCCCATAACACAATCACCCCTTTCTAGAAATGTTTAAAAGGTGCTTAACTGTAATAAAATAGATAATGTTACTACATATCTGTACTTGCCACATATTCAAATATTACCCATCTGCAAAATTGTACTTCATCTCATCTTCCTAGCCAACTGTCACTGGTTTGCTACTCTTAATACTTTTGGATAGATACTTACACACACATGTTAATGTTAAATATATTCAAAATTCTACCAATAACAAAACTGAAAACAAAGTGGGAATATTACTCTTAAAAGCATTGTCTGCCTTTGGTTACGTTAGCACTGGTTTATGTCACATTTAAAAAACTGTGACCAATCTCTGGAGTTCCTGGTGATTAGGTGCCTGTAAAAGTGGGAAATTAATATTGCTCTGCCTGCTCTTGAGAGTTGTGAGGATCAAATTAACCCAACTGAATGGCCTTTAAAAGCAATATCAATCTGAAAAATACAAGATGCATGAATGAACCTTATTCCTGCTAAGGAATGAAGTCTGTAAGTTTAGGGGACCTGGTGCATGCTGCATTCCACTTATCGGAGGGTCAGCTCTCGGTCTTAGGGGCTTCCAAAATAGCTGCCTCATCATTTGATTTAAAGAAGCACCATTTCCTCTGGTCTGTGATGCTTATGTGTGAAAGACCAGCCCCTTTGATGAGAGCATTTACATCCCCCAGAAGAAAGCAAAGGAAGGGGAGGAAGTACACACCTGGGAAAAGGGAAGTCACAGTAGTTAAACAACTAAGCCATGTGCATCATGATCAGTTTAGCGTTAAGTGTCACTTTTAGCTGCTGCATTATTTGGAGGCTCAGCATGAAAGCCGAGGTCACTTATTCCCATGAATCAAAACCGCTGAGTTTTGCACAGTTACAACTCAAAATGCTGAGATGGTAAATGTTATTAAAAATGCTTTTGTGAAAATCAATGCAGTCTTATTTTGAAAATGAATATTTATTTTGTGCATTGGAATAGAAGGACTTAATATGATCTAAAAGTAGTTTATTGCTTAATATGTTTTTAAAAGTGCACCACAGGAAAATGTCCAGCATATTTGAGTCAAACAGAAACATGATTATGAAGGTCCTTTCTTACTACATTTAAGCCTTTTTGTTAAGTATGACTTGTAATGTGATATTATGTAGTATAATAAAAGTAAAATTGAATACAATGGAGACTGGTTATCACAGGGTTTAAATCCATCCCAGGGTCAATCAACTGAGATTGTTCACTAGCAAAGACAATGAAAGCGGTCCCAGTTTGGAGTAGTGTAAGACATTGTGGTCTCTTGGACAAATGTACTTTATAATGGAAAGAAGTGAAGCTACAGAGTCAGAAAGCCTGGGTTTAAATGTGGGTTTCATTTCTTACTAAACAAGTCATGTCACCAAGCTCATAAACTGAGTATATCTGAACTACATCACTTAGGAATGTGTTTGGTTTCATGCCACAGAATGGCCAAATAATAATAGCTTAAATAAATAGGTATTTATTTCTTTACATTACTGGAAAGCAGGCTGGGAATGGGTTGGTGAACTGCCTCAGAAATGTTATAAAGAACCCAAGTTTTTTCTATTTTTCCACTCCAGTGCTTATTATTTGTCTGTGAACCCATCATGGCAAAGATGACTTCTCGATCTCAGCATTATGTCCTTAGTGCAGGCAGCAAGGAGGAAAGGGAGGGGAAGGGGAGGCAAAATGCTTTCTACTCGAGTTTTATGCCTTCTTTTGGAAAAAAAGAAACTCCTTTGCAGATTTTTGTTTAGATATCCTTAGTCATAACTGAGTTATATTATTAATGCCAAGCAAAAAGGTAATGAGACTAGGACTAATTTAGACAAGCTGTAATTCATAATTCTGTGGCTAGAATAAATGAGGACTTACCCTGAGTTCAATGTATTTTCAACTGAGTAAATATAAGATGCCTGTTAGTAGGATGATGATTGGACAGAAGGATGGCTACACGGTAAGTATAAGTCATTGTCTGCTGCAAAATAACATCTTTGATATAACTAGATCATGCATTTTTGTTTGCTTGCGACAGTCCTAGTTTAGACCCATTGTTCTTATTATAATTATACACACTGTCCCCTGGTGCAAGTTCTTTGAATGGAGGAGAGTGGAGGGTGTAGGAGACTAGATGTAACTTGCCATTTTTCTTAAGGCATCAGCCTGAAAATGGCACTGTTACATAGGCTCATATTGTGTCAGTCAAAGTAAACCATATGGCCAAGGCTGAAGCTTATGGGGACACAAACAGGTACTCCACATCTAGCTGGACAATCTGTAAAGCCCAGTGGCAAAGGATATATAAAGCCCTAGAGAAATAAGAGAAGTTCCAGATAAAGTTGGATCCATTTCCCCTCTAAAACAAGTCTAAAAACAAATGTGGGTTTTGGGGTGAATACTTTACTGTGAAAATTAGCTATTTAAATTTCAGTAAGGGAGGTAATGGGCGCCTCCAATATGAGCTGAGTAAATGAAGTTAGTGTTTTACTGAATAATTGGATGTCTATACAGCCCTTCTAAAAATTATACATGATTATTACACATGATTGAACTCCAGAATAAAGTTTTATGATTTTAAAAAGTACAGTCAGTCATTGCATCCCGATTCATTACAAAAATCTATAAATCAAGGAATGAAACAAACACATGCAAATTATTTGTATCTTAATTATTGGTTTTGCTAAATTGTTTGCCTTACTCTTTCATTTTTAGATTAATTATTTTAGGCTATAAGAAACCTTTGGAAAGAGAGGATCTTTTTGAACTAAATGAAAACGATTCCTCCTATACTGTGTGTCCTGTCTTTGAAAAACAATGGAGGAAGGAAGTTTTAAGGAATCAAGAGAGACAGAAAGTAAAGGTAATGAATTGTTAAATCCCTAAATACTTAATTAGTACTTAAAGTTATATAAAGCTTGTTCCAAATGTGAGATATGTTCATTTTTAATATAAAAAGTCCTTAAAATATGTGAAAAGGACAGCCATTTTCATACATACATTTGGTTGTGATTGCAGCTAGTTTCTGTCATCAAATTATTCAACATCCTTTCCCTTTAACATTCAGAATCTGGTGTGTTGATATGTCTTTATCTTTGGCTTCTCACCAATATCTTCTGCTCAGTTATCTTAGTGAATATGGTTTCTGTATCTCAGAGCTTCATTGGTCAACATAAGTCATATGGTGGCCAAGGCAAAGTTTATGGGTAGAGACAGTACTCCACATGGAGTGCATAGATACCCTCTACTGACTTCCCGAAAAGAAAATATAATTGGAAACTAAAAACTGTATTTCCATTAAATAATTATATTAGTGAAACAGTTTCAAAATTCACAAAAATGGTGAAATACAACTATTTCTCTTGCTCATTTATACCACATGTTATAAGTAACACCAAGCAGTCTGGAGACACACGGTGCCAATGATATGGTTCGTATTTTCAAGTTTAACTGAATTTATTCCTTTCTTGTTATCTTATTATCTTTGGAGTACATTACTAAATTTATAGTTAGTTTGTACATATATGTATATATTTTTCATTTTTACTCATAATCTAATTTTCTCATTTTTTTTCTTTCATTATGTAGGCATCTTTTGCTAAAGAGGCACATAGCAAGAAACCATCTCTTCTCTGTGCATTGTGGAACACCTTTAAGTTTGTCCTGATTCAAGCTGCTTTATTCAAAGTGTTTGCTGATATTTTGTCTTTTACTAGCCCACTTATTATGAAGTAAGTATAGTCTTTTTTTCTTCCCTACAGGTATATGATAAGCAGATGTTCCAATAAGCAAGTGTTTTTAGTTGTACTATGGGTGGAATGACTGCAAATTTTATTTAGAGTGCAGACATTCTATTAGGTTTGCCAAATGTAAATTATGATGATATAGTCTGTAGTTACTGAAGCTAGCCATGTGCTAAGCCTATTCTAAAATCTTTATATTATCTTATTTAATCTTTATGACAATCCTATGAAATAGGTAACATGGTTACACCCATTATAACAATGCAGAAACATAAAAAGAGGTTTAAGTAATTTGCCTAAGTCCACACAGTTAGAAAATGGTCAGAGTCATCATTCAAATCCAGGAAATCTGGCTTGAACATATATTGAGAAAATGAAATGATACATACCTTCACTATTTTTCTCAGCTGTGACCTTTTGCAAGTTGAACTTTATCAGCCAGGGTAATAATATATAAATGTAAATATAAACATAAATATATATGTGTGTGTATGTATATATAGTTTATGTATATATGTACATATATATGTGTTTATATAGTGAAAATATCTGAAAATCTAAATATTTATTTAATATTTGTATGCAAAGTTTTATAGCAGATAATAAAATTGAGCTCTTGACTGTGTGCCACCTTTTCAAGGAGATATTGCCCTACTGTTATGTTATATTTGCTATATATTATAACTGTTATGTGAAGGAAACACAAGGAAATATGTTTTTTAAACTATGATTTATATATCCTGTATTGAATCATTTCCAAGTTTTTGGAGTTTTTAAGAACCATTCAACTCATGAAAATAGAATTAATCTTGAGTTACCTGAATCCAAGATAAACCAGGAATATATTTATTCACTGTTTATTGAGCACCTACTACATGCCAAACATTGTTCTAAATAGACCATGGGAATAGAGCAAAAATAAAAAAGTCCCTGTTCTCATGACCCTTAGAGGGGAGAGATAAGTAGTAAACAAATGAATAAATATAAATGACATTAAGAGATAATCAGCACTAAGGAAAAAAAAGTACAGTAGGGTAAGGGGGTAATAGTATGGAAGTGGCTATTTTATATAAGGTGGTTATGAAGACATTGGTGGTAAGGCGACATTCAAGCAAACTCCTGAAGAAAGTGAGGGAGGAAGCTGAGACCATATCTATTTCAAATAGCAAGAACAGGAAGGGCAAAATCCATAATGTTGGAGCACACTTGGTATGTCTGAGGACACTGAGGAGGCAAATGAAGTTTGAGCAGAGAAGCTGAGAGGAAAAGTATGATTGAGGTTAGAAAGGTCCTTGGGTAGAAAAGATCTTGAAGGGCTTTATGGAATGTGAGTGGATACTGGCTTTTATCTGTATGAGAAAGTAAGCCTATGAAAGATTTTGAGCAGGAATTGATGTGATCAAGTTTAAGTTTTATAGGTATCACCATGGCTGCTAGCAGAAAATAATGTAAAGAGGAGCAGGAGGAGAAGAAGGGTCACCAGGCGAAAGACTGAGATAATCCAGGCAAAGGCCAGTGGTGCCTTCAACTAGGTTGTAGCAATGAAGGTGATAAAAAGTGGTGAGATTCTGGCTCCATTTTTAAGGTAGAGTCAACATAATATCCTGATGGATTGAATGTCAGTTGAGAGAGGAAAAGTAGTCCAGGATGCCTTCAGAGTTGTGTAAGTCACAAAGTAAATGAGGTGCCATTTCCTGAGGTATTGAAGACTCAGGAACAGTAGTGAAGGGATTGGGGTTTGCTTTTGGACTTGCTAAGTTCAAAATCTATATTAGCCATTTTCAGGGAGAAAAATGAACATATCAGGGTTACGACTGTCTCTTGGAAGGCTTGCTTATAGGGGTAACTTTTGGCTGGAAACTGGAATTTGGATTTCAGGAGGGTAACAACTACCCTGACTGTTTAGAGTTGCTCAGTGTGTTTTAACTGCTAATATAATCAGTGTGGTTCATGTTGAATACCTGCTCTCCTTCTGGGAATATGACTTTGGCATGTGTTAGGAAGAGGGTACCCTGGGTCTCTAATGAGCTTTCCTAGTAGACATCATTTTACAGATGTTTCTAAAGTAGTTGCTGGATAATTAAGTATGTTCTGTGTGACTCTGAGGGAGGACTTTTGGAAGCTTGGGCCCATTTTTCCCTGAACTTCAGCCCATGAACCTTTTTTCTTGGCTGATTTTTTTCTTTGGGTGTCCTTTCATCATAATAAATCATAGCCATTAGTATGACTAGATGCTGAGTGTACATCCTTCTAATGAATCATATAACTAGGAGATGGTCTAGGGGATCTCTGACAGCCATATAGATAAAAAGATTGAGTAAATAATTATCTACATAAGTCTGGAGTTAGGGAAGATATTGGCTGGAGTGATAAATTTGGGAACTGTTCCAAATTAGATTGGGTATATTAAACCATTGTTCTAGATGAAACCATCTTAGCATGAGTGAAGAGAAGTAAAGATATCCATAGATAAACCATCAGAAGGTCCTGGGATGGAAAAGATCTTAAAGGTCCTTATGGAATGTGGTGAGGATATTGACTTTTACCTGTGTGAGAAAGTAAGCCTTTGGAAGATTTTGAGCAGAAATTGATGTGTTTAGATTTAAGTTTTATAGGGATCACCATGGGTAGAGTTGGTGAAGATACGGAAATCTGCCAGAAAATAGTGAGAAGGAATGACCAGTTCAGAGATAGGAGAATCAAGAGAGAAAGATGTCAGGAAATTCAAGAAAAGAAGGTGTTTCATTACTGTCAGAAAACTGCTCCTTTTTATCCCAAAGTCTCTGTTTGGCTCCCTTGTCTATGGATGCATAAGCCAAAAGTCTTCCTGGATTAAAACACCATGCAAACAAGATCACATACCTCTTCTTCACCCTGCCTCTGCCCCTTATCTCCAAATATCCCAGTTATTTTTAAGATGGATCCCAAAAATCTGTCTTTCAGAGATGCACTGACTAGCATCTTTTTCTCCTTTCCTGTCTGGTGACCTGTTGTTGCAAAATTAACCACATCAAAAGTTAGTGACATAAAAAAGCAGTGATTTTATTATGTTCACAATTTTGTGTGAGGTGAATGTAATAACCACAATACTATGGAAACAAGGCATGATTTTGTGGATCAGAATTTCCTCTGCTCCACAATGATTGGGGTCTTAGCTGAGTGGCTTGAAGAGCTGGAGATGGCTGCAGCAGCTCAGTTGGAGACAGATGTCTGGGGCCTTCAGTCTGCTGTTAGCTGGATGACCGGGATTCTTTTCCACACGCGCTAGAGCCAGAATGTCCAGGATGGCTTTCCTGACTTACATGCTGATGCCTTGGCTAGGATGGCTGGAGATGGGCAAGATATCTGTCTCTCTCTCTTTCCATAGTTTCTCCAAATGGTTAGTTTGAGCACAGAGATCTCAGGGTAGTTGAACTCACGTGGTGGCTGGATTTCCCCAGAATGAACATGCTAAGAGGCTCAGATAAGTCTTTTTATGACCTAGGCTTGGAAATCCCAGATTGTCACTTTTGCCACATTAATTTGGCCAGGCAAATCCCTAAATTAATCCAGACCCAGAGGAGGGGAATTAGGAGAGTTAGGTTTAATTTCTCAAAGGAAGGAGTAATAAGGAATTAATATCCAGTTTTAGTCATGCTCTGATTCCCATTTTCCAATGACTGCTGCTCAGGAAACTCATTTTAGAACCTCACTACGGCCACTGTCTTTCCTAAACTAGCCATATATAGGTCATGACATTTCAGTGTCTCTATCTTCCCCCAAAAGGTGCAGTCTGTGGAGGACTGAGGAATTGCTAAGTCCTTGACTGTGGGGTAGAGAAAGATCTCCCAATTTTTATGACACACTTTTGTAACACACAAGCTTAACCTTACCTGCAAAAGAGTAATTTCAGCATTGCACTGAAATGAGTCAGTTGACATGTCTTTCTCCTTGCCTGGACTATGAGCTCCTCCAGGTAAAGGATCCTGGGTTATTCAGTTTTTATGTCCTTAGCTCCTAGCACAAAGCCTGATATGTAGAATTCAAATGCATTTCTTGAATGGAATATTGGATAAATCAGCTTATCCTGAGTTAAACTTTCCAAGGGACCCTCATTCTAGAGTAGTTGAATAACCTTAATATTTCTATACTGAGGAATAATTGAGTGATCGGTAAGAATTTTATGAGTATATGATCATAATTTGAGCCTGGAGGAGCTTATTTTATAAGCTAATTTCAAAACATATTTTCTTTTGGTAAGGTCAAGTCACTGGAGAGGACTATCTTTAAGGATAAGAATTTATTGTCATGTTATCAAGGCTAATGTGTAAAAAGCATACATAAATAATACTTTACCTAATTTACTAGTAAAAGAAATATTCTTAATGATTGCTGTGCTTACACTTTTTCTCCTTTATATGAACTTTATTCTAATATTAGTCAAACAAAAAATGAGTATTCATATCTGATACAATGAATGTACTTTTATGGTCTTTAGCATAACTTGATCACAAGATTTTTTTTAGTATTTCCTGATTTATATATGCAGAACCGTTTTGGTACCTGCTGATAGTCATTTAGTTGTTTGATTTTATTAGAATGGAAAAATTCTAATTGGTAGGTACAGCTGCAATAAGAATAGTGCTCCTCTTTCAGGAAATTTAATTTGAAGAACAAGAAAACATGTAATAAATTACTCTTCTAAAAATAATATGGTGTCCCAATGAATGGTTGTAAATAATTTTCAGTGACTAGAGAGAGATTTTAATAGTATTTTAGAAACAGTGGTATATATTTGATTCTAAAATATGATTTTAATAAGTTAATCTTTTGAAATACTTGGTTTATAAAGCAATTCTGGCAACACAATTGTTTTTTATTGTTCACCCATTAGCTGCCAATAAAACAGATCAAAACATAGACATATATTTTTTATTATCCACTTTGAAAATGTAAATTCTCATAACGAATGATTTTTTTAAATACTGTAGTCTTAGAAAAAAGTTTAGGTATAGTCTTAGCTAATTACACATGGCTTCCTTCTGATTTTAACAACCTGGAAATTCACTCAAAATGCCTCTTTACAATGACAAAGCACATTTTTTTTTTTTGCATTTCCAGAGTTCAGGGTATAAAAGGTCCATCTCAAAAATTTGATATTGTGCCTTTTAACTACAAAAAAGCAAAACTATTTTAGTAAACCAAGAACTGAGCCTGCAAAATAAGTGGTGTATTAATTTGTAGTATCTCAGAGTATATACCCAAGTTGTTTTCACCATTATGCAGAGTATATTTAGTTTTTAAAAATTATAATTATTTTTAGTTGCATAAATGCAATTCTCAAAAGGTTGAGAGGACCTATATAGTGTTATTTATCAGTATTTATAGTTGAGTGAGTTTTTATTCAGTGTTTATAGTTGAAGGACAATGAGCAACCAGGATAGCTATGATTAGAACCATTCCCATTGTCTAGATATACCCCAGGATTGATACTAATCATTGTGACCGTGCTATCACCAAACTTAAGAGAAAATAAGGAAGACAGAGGAGAGAGAAACTGGATATGGATAAAAGTGATGATAACTGATGAGATGTAATTCAAGCCTTTAAAAAATCTGTGAGCCATTCCAAGAGATTTTCTTAAAAGAATTCTAATTGTCATGTTTCCCTATATTTCACAAAATGCATGATTTTGTAAAAAAAAAAAAGGAGTCTCAAATGTCTCTGCGTCACAACTTTTATGATGAAGTTAGACCAGAACAGTTAACTATTTCATGAAATTCTGATATGAAAACTGGGAAGTAAACCTTGTACTCACAAGCCTATGAAAACAACTGTTGATTCTATTTACTTCATTATATTATGCTTGGCTAAAATTAAAGAGAGGAATGATGCCAAATTGGACAAGTAGAAAAAAAAAACAGGTAAGAATGTGTGTGTGTGTGTGTGTGTGTGTGTGTGTGTGTGTGTGTGTGTAATATTTTGACATTTATTTGGTAAGCATTTAATTAATTCAGGTGTTAACATTTCTTGCACTTTCCCAATTTTTATACAACATTCAGGCAAATGATCATTTTCTGCGAACACCACTCAGATTTTGGATGGAGTGGCTATGGTTATGCTTTGGCACTTTTTGTTGTAGTCTTTTTGCAAACCCTGATCTTTCAGCAATATCAACGTTTTAACATGCTGACTTCAGCAAAAATTAAGACGTCTGTAACTGGATTGATCTACAAAAAGGTAAAAAAATTTAAAGATTTCTGATTTCTAAATGGACTGTTCCTTTATATGCTTTAAAACAGGAGAGTACATTAAAAAGTTCTGAGGGTGCTCTTTGAACATTCATTTGTTTTGCTTCAAAATAACTTTGACCCATCAATATTGGTTGCATTAATTTCTCTATAGGGCTTTCAATAGTCTTTAAAGTCCCTGCAACTTCTAGGCCGCCCTAATCCATGAAATTAAATGTTAGTTTTGTCTACTGTTTTGTCACTTCACTCCTCAGAAAGTGAGTGTAATTTAATGGTTTCATGACTATATTTATGTATCAATAAATTTTTTTCTTTTCTTAATCATTTTTGTTCTATATACTGCCTTTTTCTTCCTATGCTCAATTTTTTCATGCAGTAAAGCCATCCTTCTCTATACAGTCATTATCTGCTTCTCTTTACCCCACAAAAACCTGGCTGATCCTTATACTTGTCAAAAACCTGAAGTTTAATTTGTCTTCTCTTTTAAATATCACCTCTACCATTCAGAGTCTTTATTTACATCATAATTATAAACAGAGTTTCTTCTATCCCATAGTTAATCACGAGTTATTCAGTCAGCAGGTGTATTTTACATTCTTACTCTGTTACTCTGTAAATTGTGGGTACTTCAGTATTTAGAATAGAAATTTATTTACCTGTTAACACCTTTGTCATCTAAGAGAGTGACCTTTATACATTTTTGTAAAAGTTCGATGACTAAGTAAATGAAAAAACGAGCCACTTCATTCAAGAAGTTGGGGGGAATTATTAGCATTCATAATGAATGTGTGGAATGTAGATTTTATAAGAGGTCATCTGAGCAGGAAATCTATGATGATCATATACAAAGGTTTCATATAGAAAGGAAGCCTTGAAATGGTCTTTGGGAGTGTTATAGAATTTCTGTAAGTGGAATAAAATATAATTTGGTTTGAGCTGGCCATGAAGCATTATAGGCCATTTGGCCATATTTGGGCAAAATGGGGTATAGAGTGGTTTTAGGTATCCTGGAATGACACAGGACCAATTGAGCCAGGAAGCTCAAATTGCAGCAGAGCCAGCTCTACATAGCACAGACCAAATACAGGGTCAGAGACTGCCCCAGTAGTAATTCTAAAGGTTGTAAATTCTGAGAAATCCAAGTATGGAAGCAAGATAGCAGAGTGTAGGAATCCATTTAAATGCTAACACTTGCTTTTGATATGTGGTCCATGTGGAACAAGATGTCATTCAGTGACTAAAGCACTGGAGTTTGGGTATAGGATTTGGGTAATTTAACAAGCATAAACAGTGGACGGCAATAGAAATTAGACCAAGATGTCAGAAATGAAAAGGAAAATCAGGTATTGTAGATGAATAAGTCCATTGCAAGCAAAAAGACCCTGGAGAAAATGGAGGAGAAACGGACTGCAGGAGTAAGACCGTATGATTCCTTTGAGAGATTGTTTAAGAACGAAGAGCACTCAGGTATCAAAGGAGTACAGCAGTCAAGTAGGCTCAGTGGCTTCTGCTGTAGAGATTATGATTTAATTTTATAACCAGCGTTGTTAGGAAGCACTGGCCTAGTGCAGATGGCACTGATAGGAGGCAGGACTTCCTTCTGAGCCTCATATCTTACATCTGCTTCCAGTGAGTTTCTTCCATGAGACTAACGGGGGTTATTAAATTTCCCTTTTCTTCATCACAGGAAGGCTTCAGGACTCTGATTATTACCATATTTAGATAACTTCAGAATGAATGCTCTCATAGTGCCATCAGATCACCTGCATTAATCTGACATTGGCCCTGCTTCATCAGGGACTTGTTCTTAGAGTGGGGTAAAGCTGGTCTCAGACCTTTTTCTTAGGGTTTGTTAGGACTTTCTTATTTTCTATCCATTCCCATGACCGCTGTTAGTTGGGAATAAAGTTCAGCACTATCATTTTGAAGGTTTGTGAGAAAAACCTGAGCCTTATTCCACTTTATCACTTTGAGAGTCCTGGAGTCTCAAAACTGAGATATTGTTACGCCTTTGCCGTGGTTCAGGCTCCATATGAATTCTTGAGGACTAAGAAACAAGGTATGCTTCAAAAGCTACATCAGTTGGTTCTGGGATTAATGTAGGCAGTCTGGGGGCACTCCTGCTTCAAACACTGTCCAATAGAATCTGGTTTTAAAAATGGGTGAAGGGGCTGAAAAGGTACAAACTTTCCATTATAAAATAAATGTTATGAGGATGTAGCATGGTGATTATAGTTAAAAATACTGTATTGCAATTTGAAAGTTACTAAGAGAGAAGGTCTTAAAAATTCTCATCGTGAGAAAAATATTTCTAACCATGTGTAGTGATGGATGTTAGACCTTTTGTGATCATCTCGCAATATATACAAATATTGAATCATGTATACCTGAAACTAATATAATGTTATGTGTCAATCATATCTCAGTTAAAAAAAGAAAGTAAAAACAGGAGAGATTCTTAGCTTGGGGTGCTGACAGAGAGAACAGCTGTAAGTTAGAGACTGAAGTACTGGTTTTCCATTGAAGAAATAAAAGGATTTAAGGTGTCTGAAAAATAAAATAAAAATAGGCTACTTCTAAGAAGTTTTTTTAAATTTTCTATATCTGTACTGTTCAGTTTGGTAGCTGCTAGTCACATAAGGCTTATTAACCCCTTAAAATGTGGCTAGGAAGACTGAGGAAGTGAATTTTTTATTTCAATTAATTGAAATTTAATAACCACATGTGGCTATTGGCTATGATATTGGACAGTAGTGCTTTAAGCTACATTTGTAAGCTTAAAAGTTTATTCTTACCGTAATTGTGGTAATTATAAAATGCAAAGAAAATTGATAAAATTAGTTACATTCTTTAAGATAGAGATACTTAAATGGGGTCAAGGGGTGGAGGGACAGAATCCAAATCCTGCACTTAGACTCAGAGAGAGAATCCTGGCATATTTTTTTGCACAAAGAAGAATGAGTTCTTATAAATGTTATGAGGGCTCACCTTTGGATACACCCTGTCTCATTGTTAGTATGGTAACCGTTGGTTGAGGATCACTGGGTTAGAAAATTTTAGGATCCTTCCAGCTCTAAATTATAGGATGTCTGTGATAGCTAGGATGGTGAGGAAAAATCTCATGGTTAATATCGCATAGTATTACACGATGTAAATCTGAAGGATGAATGCATATGCAAAGGCTCTTCTCTTGGAAATACATGGAGTGGGAGGAGGGAAGTAACAGAAATGAGTACAAGACTTGTTCAGAAAATGATGAGTAGATTAATTTAGCTAAAAGCAATGTTTTATGAATAGGATGGTAAGGAGGGGTAGGGTAGTAGAACAGAAGGGACTGTAGCTTTTTTTTTAAGACTCTTGAAAGGTACACTGTAAAAGTGTACCTTAATTCTGTAGGAAATTAGGACTCATTTAAGCCATAGGGTGGATGATCAGGAGAAAAGAATGAAATGGATAGGGTTGGAAATAAGGAGTACCTTAGAAATATTTCAGTAGTTCTGGAAATAAAGGTATGACCTAAAAACATGGCAATGAGTCCAGAAAGGAACAATATGTAGAAGGGAGAATGTGAAATTGTAGAACAAATTTCATCATCAGACGATAAAACAAAATATTAGTGAATTGAGCTTAGTAAGCATCAAGATACTGACAGTAAGTAGGAGGGGTATTGAAGCTGGGAGTTACATCCTGTTCATCTGGGTCTTCTTAGAGCATAGTTTATTAATAAATGAAAGTGAAGTTTCAAAAAGTGATGAAATGACATAGCTATGCTTTTTTATGAGAGTATGTGGACTAGAATTCATAAGAAATGAAAATATTGTATAAAAAATGTAAAATGTGGATGGAATCTAAAAATAAGTTTTGTAAAAGTGATTATTATTATAATATAATTGTTAAATGACAACTGGTTAACTTTCATTTTGATTGAAGTGTATTTATAAACTCCCAACTTTTTACACTGAGATTTTACAGAAGCAGTTGTTGTTCTTACCTCAAGTCTTGCTTTATCTCTTTTTTCAGATTAAATACTTTCTACCAAACATTTCTAGAACATGTTGTTCTGGCTACTGTAATTGTGGTAGCATAATTATTTCATATAATGAAGAAGAGGCAGTTTAGATTATGTAATTTAGCAATAAATAGTAACTAAATTGTACTTTATGGCTTGTAAATTTTGTCCCTTCCAGAAATGTAAAAGTTTATTTGACAGGAAAAAAATACTGAGGGAAAAATCAGTGCTACTGATGTCAAAATGCTTTGCAGAACAACATACAATTATATGGTGCCCCTTTTTTCCTTAACATTTTGAAAAGAATTAATTTTTAAAGGTATTTTCCTTTTTTATACTGAAGAAAATGTGTATAATATAAAATAGGAAAGTTAAAATAAACACCATCCATATTGCTAAACTGCAAAGATAAGCATTTTCTTCTAATACTTATTTTACATGCATATATGTATTTTTGGTATACACTGTTTCATAATCTGTAATTTACTAAATAATTTGTCATCAGCACATGTACTGAGGAAGTATTTTATAATATGATTTTTTTGTATTTAATATCTTTGATTTTATTTTTAAATGCATTTTTTCTTATATACAAATTTAAATAAATCCGTAGAAGAAACTCATATGTATATAGTACTTTTTCCATCGATTTACATCTTTTCTCTAGTTTGCTTTCCACTTTGCTTACCATTTCACTCATAGTATACAGGGTCTCTTTTTTTTTTCTTTTGAGAGAGGTTACATTGTTTTGTAAAATTTGGATGACATTATAAAAACCTTTTTTTAAAAATCTGTTTTGCTTTTCTTATTCAAAAATAGAACATCTCACCAGTATAATTCTAATCATACTTTTTAATGGCTACATAATAGTCTTTCCTGTATCTATAGCCAAAATTTATTCAACCACTCTGACCAATGCTGCAAAAAACATTCTTGTAAAGATCTAGGTCTTGTCACAGGAGTGGAATTTCTGGGCTTAAGGAATTTTAATTTTAATAGGGATTCCAAATATTTTTCAAAAAGTCTAGAGCAATGTATATTTTCTATAGACATATCAAAATACCCTTCCCATATATCCTTTGTAATCATTGCAACATTGTCTTCTGATAGTAGGTAGTAGGTATGCTGTGAACCCCTACCACTTATCCCATTCTAGGCTAGCCTGTTTTATTTTGACTTTTCTGTTTGGGTGCTTATAAGGATTTCTTTTTAAATACAATTCTAAGGATACAGAATTACAAATTATACCAGGGTAGGGAGAGCTACTGTTTGCTAATTAATTTCAGTGGCACTGCCCAAATGCTTTTGGTTTGAAATATTTCTTTCACTCAAGAGAGATGCCTTCTAGTTTTTTCTTTATTTTTTCTCATTCTTTACTTTTACAATAATCTATATATGCATATGCATGTGTTATATATGTGTCCACTGCAACCTGTTTTAAGCACTGTTATATGCATAGACATATATACATGTTCGGTTGTAGATATAGATGTAGCAGCTGTAGATATAATGCTCATATATATATAATATAAGGAAACAAACTGAGAACAATAAAGTAATTTACCCATAGTCAAAAAGTTATTAAATAGAATAGCTGGTCTGGGAACCCAGGCAGTCTGGTGTACAGATTGTGCTTTACATTAAATATATAGATATGAAAATGTAAATATATGCACATATGTATATATTTATATAATACATAAACATGTGTGTTTATATTTTATATGTGTGTTTGAGTTCCTCTTCTCCATACCCTAAATCTTTTTCTTCATCCTTTCATGTTTTAAAATATGCTTCTTCAAATTTCTGGGACTAGCTTTTGAATGTATCTAGTAGTTTAAAAATTCCATTTTACTGTAGTATCTATTTGGGTATCCATTTGGACTTTTGGTGCCTCCACTGCATTTTTAAAAAATTTGTTGTGTTCTCAATTTCAGAATATCTCCTATTCTTATTTATTTTTGAAGGATATAATGTTCTTTCACATAGTCTGGTAGCCATCAAGCAAGATTATAAAGAGATATTCACATATTTTTTCATGTTTTTGTGATATCTTTTTTCCAGTAGGAGGACATTTATTTGATTCCTTGGATAATTTAGTTACTCTGAACTACTTGACTTTAGTGTTTTCATAAATACTAAATATTATTATCTTTTCCTTCTAGAGGTGTGGGATAAAATAGTTTATATTTTTATAATTATAAGTTGCTGGTGGATTCTATTAAAGATCAATAGACCTCTCTTAAAAAATGTTATAGACTTAATGAAATGAGGATTGCAGTTCTTGGAATTCCATTATTAAACTTGGCCGCATTAGGTGATGAGTAACTTATTAGGGGGAGACTGCAGAGCCAGATTTGAAGAAGATGCAGCTGGAAGCTTAACTATTTCAGTAACTAGTATGTTTTTCCTTTTTTCTCTTGTGGCAGTAGTAGTCATTCTGTTTTACTGTCAGTATGACTGTCCCCCTTACTAGTCAGTAGCAAAAATGTTTCCAATTTACTGTGCAGAAACGTAAATGAGCATTGAACACTGCAGTAGCCATAGAGCTTTGGGGGATTCTGGCACCCTGTGAGCCTTCCAGGGCTACGCAGTCCCTCTGGCAGGTCCCATGGTCTTTCCCTTACACTAAGTCCTTCTGCTTTAAACAGGGAGTGTTAGAAGAGTTTCACTGACAGCCTTACCTTGTTTTCCAGATGGGCATTTCCTTTGGGTTTGTATTATTCATTTATTGAATAAAGAGATTTTGACTGCCTCCTGTATCCCATATATTCTTCTTAGTCATAGCTTTCAATCTTGTCTTTATTGAAGTCCTTGTGGTCAAAATTTCTTAAAATCTCTGGCATATGAATAGAACTTTGCCTGGTTTTCCAGGCAAACACCAATTTCCCACTATGTTTATAGTCATTCATGCATTTCACTGGGAATTTTAAATGGGTGGGCAATTAAATAAGTGAACTCTAAGATCAACCTTATAAGAAGTTTTCAATAACTAAATTTAGGAATATTGAACTCAGTATACAAATATTAAATAGCATGCAGAGAGAAAATGAGAATTGAGCTTTGGAAGAAAAGATGTATTTCTGTCTTCTCTGTGAAGCATTTCCAGTATTCTTATCACTCTTAATTCCCATGGCCCTTCTTAGCTGTTTTTACAATCATCCTGTATTTGAGGCATCTATGGGGGAGGTAGAATGGACTTCACAACTAGACTGTAATCTCCTTGGGAATTGGGACAGTGCCATTTTTAAATTTCCACAGTTGGAAGCATAACACTATTCATCACCATTCATTAGATTCACTATATTCATTAGTATTCATAATACTGTTCACAGCATTCACTGATTCATTTGTGTACTTTGCATTGATAAAATTTAGATGGTTAATCCTTAAAGGGGTGCCAGCAAATAGAGGGGAGCTTCAATATTAGAAATCTAGAAAATTTCTTTTGTAACTTTGCAATGAACAAGTTGTAGAGGGTTCTTGGCGAGCATATTTGCTTGGGAATCCAGATGTTGCTTTCTACTGATACACAGTAAAGTCAAACACTTGCACTTTGGTCAACAATGGTATTTTTCTCATTTAAAAACATTAAAAACATATCCATATTACATGATTGAAATATATAAGTAATCTTGTATATTTCCTAAATATATTAAAAACTGGTATTAAAAGTTTCTATTGTTTGACTAGAGAGATGCCCTATGATCTATAGAATGCTAAATATTTTGATCCTCTTTTTCCAGGCCCTACTTTTATCTAATGTTTCTCGAAAAAAGTTCTCAACTGGGGAAATTATTAACCTGATGTTAGCTGATGCCCAGCAGCTCATGGATTTGACGACAAACCTCAATCTCCTTTGGTCAGCCCCTTTTCAAATCCTGATGGCCATAATGCTCCTCTGGCAGGAGCTGGGCCCCGCAGTGTTAGCAGGGGTGGCTGTCCTTGCATTTGTGATACCGGTTAATGCTTTAGTTGCAAATAGAGTTAAAAAGCTGAAGGTAAGAAACGACTGCCCCATGTTACATGTGTGTCAAACAGAAGCTGAGATTTCTTACTTGAGTTGACAATAACCATCTAGCTGATTCTACATATATATGGAATTAATACAGATTTATCATTCATTCAACCCAGTATCAATTGGGCATCTATGCTTTTCAGCCATTGTGTCAGGCATAGGAAGTACGGCAGTGAGGAAAACTGACAAGTTGGGCTAGTGGAAGAGGTGGGCATCAAGCAAGTAAATAGATACACAACATAATGCCTGCTATTAATTTGTGTATGACGAAAAATAAGTTAGGGTAAGATGACAAAGTAACAAAGAGTGCCATTCACAGAGAGGGGCAGGAGGGTCCTCAGGAAGTATATGATATATCAGCAGAGTAAGGGAACAATCCATGTGGATGACTGAGAAAAAGATATATCAAGTGAAGGGAAGAATGTGAGTGCAGCCTTGAGGTAGAGCAGCTTGGTTTGTCTGAAGAATGGTGAGGAGGCTAGAGGGCTGCAGTGAGCAAGGAGTGACTGTATGCAGCAGTGGGCAGCAAATGCTTAACTGAATCAATTTTATATTCTTTCTTTACAGTCAATCATTCATCTTACTGTCAGTATATTTTTTGACATATGTCATGCTGTAGGAATGAGAAACAAGACATAGTTCACTGCATAGAGGAAACCACACTGTGAAGGGAGAGATAGATGGTTTCACATGCTAAAGTAACATACACAGATGTAGATGTATTGCTTATGACACTATTTTAAATGGATCAAAGATTAATAATATCTATGTACCGACATGGAAATGTGTCAATCATAAAATTAGGGGATAAATAAAAAAACTGATGTATATGTGTTTATTTGTATATTATATATACATATTTTTACATGTTTATATGTGTGTATATTTAAGCACATATGTATATATATATGTTAATCTATTTTTTAAAACGTGACTTTACCTATGTACATGGGTATGATAGAGATAAACAAGTGCAGATATATAGATATAGATATAAATGTATTTGCATAAACATAAAAATAATCTAGAGATAAAGCATCAGTTTTTTTAGAATACTTACCTATAGAGTAGAATTAGATGGAAGTAGAGGCCAGTTTTTACTTATTACTTTAATACATTTAAGTGATGAGAATTTACACTGTCTTTATATTTTTTTGTATTTTTCAAATAACTACCAGATGACTAGTCTTTAAAAATAAGAACTAGAAATGACATATAATTATGAATTACTAAATATACCAGTATTTAGAATAACAGGTTATAATTATAATGAATACTTTTAAAGTAGTTTTAAAGAAATATTCTGGATTTTAAATAATTTAAAGTCAGATTTTTAAAAATGAAAATAGATTTGGGGGACCTTAATCTGGATTCTTAAAACCTTCAAGGAGACTGCAGTATTTACAAATATACCAAACAGAAAATATACCTTTAATCATTAAAAACAATGTTACAGCTATTAACTTGTAAATGTGTACTTTATTAGGTAATATAAATGCTTATAACATCATTGTGGTAGTATTACTGGGGGGCGCTTACAAGTTTCCAGGTAATATCCAAGTAAAAAATAATATAAATGTTGAAGATTTGAATAAATATGCAATATTACCTAATATTTGCAGGGTCATTATTTGAAAAATAAAAATTTTAATCACTCTAATTTCCAAAGGACTAATAACACTCAAGATTATGTACTTGCAATACAGAGACCTTTACTGTTATTCCTGTGATACTTCTACTATTTTATGTGTATCTATTATATATATATATCTGTTATTATATATATATATATAAAATATAATATATTATATATATACATATATAATGATAGACTTTGGGAATTTTATCCCATTTTAATAGAATATGGATGTTAGAATTCAATTTTAAACAAGTTATGTCTAAATAAATATAGTTTCTACTATTTTGTAAAGTATGAACCCTCCTTTTATTCTCCTGCTAGCTACTTTTATTTTTAAATATCTTTTTATGCTGTTTTCTAAAATTATCAATACATTAATGTTATATGAATATTATAAGATTATTTACTTCTACTAAATATTATATAAAATAAAAGGAATACACTATTTTTTAAATAGTTGTGGCCATGTAAGTTAAAGTATTAGCAACTTTTATCAAATATGCTTTCATTTTCTTTCCATTAAATAGAAAAGCCAAACAAAGAACAAAGATAAACAGATAAAACTACTCAATGAAATCTTACATGGAATTAAGGTAATATAAAAGGGATATGCTATTTTACTATTAGAATATAGCAATGTTAGTCAATAAATGAATTTATTACTATTCTCAACATCAGAGTAATTATACATGTATAATTGTTGGAAGATTGCTTCAGATTTCAAATGTATAGCAATTGCTATTGCTAAAATTACCTTTAAATGAAGTCAAATAAAATGCAGGTATTTTATTTCTCTCAACAGCTAAACACAAATATACCAAAAAGCAAAAATAATACTTGTTTTAAGGGATTAGATAGAAGAGATGGAAGGAAGCAGGCAAGAGTGATAATAACACTGTCATCAGGGTGAAGGCAGGTTTTTTTGAAGAAGGGTTGAAGGGTTGAGATGTCAATCAGGTTCTTTTATATGGGTAGAAATGATCATACAAATGCTGTTCTACAAAAGTCATGTTGCAAATTATTTGTTCCCTAGGGAAACTAACTACCCCTGCCGATGCCACTAATATTTTGTCTGTGATAAAATGAGTGAAACCTCATGAACTTACATATATGTGTTTCTGTATGTGATTTCAAATCCTATTGTCCCTAGATTATACCTCACCAGATTTTTCTGAAGAGCAATATTTGCAAAGCCTACATGGAATTTCCTTCTGGCATTGACAACTGCATAAGAAATGCTCTCTGTCTGGTGTATTTATCATTATATATATATATATATATAGGATATACCCATTATATGTCCACATTTGATTCACCTTGGATTCAATAAATTGCTGCATTGTGCAGTGTAAAACTATCACAAAATTATAACTTACTGAAGTGAAAATCATTGTTAGATTAAAGATACCTGGAAAAGAAACTGATATCTACTTATTTTTCTGAAATTAAGGGTAGCTTTCAATAGTTCTGAAATTTAATCCAGATTGTTTAATAAGGCCACACATCCCCAAAATAATATGATCCAAATGCATTTTACATCTTAGTGAATTAACTGAAAGCCTCTGCATCCATAAAAGTATAGCAGTGTATATTTATAGGTTTTAAATATTGATATTCATAGAAAGAAATTGCTATTATCAGAAGGACCAGGAAAATGTAGATTTAAATAAAAGAACATTCCCTCCTGATCTGAGCAAAGTCAAAGATTTGAAATAGCAGTCCCAGCAGCGAATACACTACAATATTGGTAGAGGTCCAAGTAGCAGTCAATGAAGATTGTTTAAAGGTGTGGGCGGCCAGCAACCTTGGGGTCTGATAACAGGTGCCATTAAGGTTCTCTCTGATAATGATAGTAGCTACCATTTAGTGAACATTTTCTGTGTGTCACACACTGTATTTATCACTTTATATCTGTTTCCCCATATAATTCTTATAAACCCCAAGAAAAAGATCTCTCATCCTCATTTTACAAATAAGGAAACAAAGTCTTCTAGTCGTTAAAGTGTCACGTCTAAGTTTACAAAGCCAGTGAGAAATTGTTAGGGTTCTCCAGAGAAACAGAACCAATAAGTGTGTGTGTGTGTGTATGTGTGTGGTGGGGGAGGTGGTTTGGGGAGGGAGAGAGAGAGACACCTCAGTCTTTTAAGGCTTTTAACTGATTGGGTGAGGACCATCCATATTATGGAGAATAATCAGCTTTACTCAAAGTCTACTGATTTAAATATCAGTCACATCTAAGGAATACCTTTACAGTATCTGGTATTTGATCAAACAAGTGGGCACCATCAACTTAAGCAAACTGACACCTAAAATGAATTGTCACAAAGAGATAAAGCTAGAATCTGAATGTAGGTTTCTCTCACTCTAAAATGCATGTGGTGAGCACCACTTTCCGATCCTACTTCTCAATGTATTCAGTCTCAGAAAATAGTTTACAATCTTAGAGCACCAGTCACTTTTCAGAAAATGGCTTGAAGTCCCATGCCATCAGTCTTTAAGAATTAGGAGGCCAGGGATAGGAGCTTAACTGTTAAGAGATGGGGAGTGGACAGGAGTGAGAATTGGACTGGCAGGAAGAGAAACAGGATGGAGCTAGACAGAAAGTGCTATGGAGCTAATGTTGAGAGTTGGGGTGTTGCCAAAGTGGCTCAAGAAAAAGCTGTTGGTGGGGAAGAGGGACATAAGGCTGAGGAGATGATTTCTTCTTGCCACCTGCTCACCTCAAAAGAACCATAATTGAGTGAAATATTTTGACATGGTAGACAATAGGAGTAATTTACTTTATGAGTGTACCACCTTTTTTTTTTAACTGACTTTTACAGATCCTCAAACTTTATGCGTGGGAACCCTCCTACAAAAAGAAGATTATAGAAATTCGAGAACAGGAATTGGAATTTCAAAAATCAGCTGGATATCTTGCTGTATTTTCTATGCTGACATTAACTTGCATTCCATTCTTGGTGAGTGTGTACAATATATGCTGTTCCAATTTTCAAATTTGATTTGTAGATTTACTTCAAATTACCTGGAATTTAATTGTCCATATATGACTAAACATTTTCAAGGAATGCAGTCATTAACTTACGTAGATTAGAGAATGAAAATTTTAAAGGGGAAAATGTTATGTTCATTCTCTTTGGTCCATATTTTTTATATTTAATAAAATTGTATTTTATTGTAAATTTCTCAGAGATTGAACATAATGCCTTCTTAGTCTTAAAAAAAATATGACCTGAATTTCAGTTTCATTTCATCTCTAAGATTCTTTATTTGTATGATTAATCCCTTTTAAGCAAGACCCAAAGGTACTCCCTACTATATAGAGTTGGGAAGGGAAGTAACATTTACTGAGTGTTTCTTATGGTATGCCAGACAGTATAGACATTGCCTTTTTTCTTGCAATAATAAAGCATTACTTTTCTCATTTCACAGAGGAAGTAGAGGTCCATAGTAGTTTGGAAGCATCCTCAAAGTTACAGAATTAGTATTTGGAGGTGAATTGATATGTACTGAGGTCATTCTCTTTCTATCACATCATTTAAGCACTGGGAACCCACGCTACTTAAACTAGAGTATAAATTGCTTTTAAGCATGAAGCAGTGGGTGAGAGCCAAAGGTAACCAACCACATGTAACTGAAGCAGCAGCTTTAATCAAAACTACCGCTCCTGGTAGTGATAGGACCAGGGGAAGTTCCATATGTCTTCCTTGCTGATAATTTAAACTATATTGCTTTTTTAATTTAAACGTGGGTATTAGGAAAGTGAAAGTGATATTTATATTTAAAATACTTTGGTAAAAAATTCCAAGAAACATTTGCTTAAGACACTCCTATGTGCATGATAAATAATCAATACAGTCTCATGCATAAGTGAACTTTTCTACCTTTCTTAAATGGAACCTGTAGGGGTAAACATAAAATCTTATCAGTCATGATTTATTCATACTTTGTTCAATTAATTTTATGGCACAAGGAAAGTATAAATATTACATGTGAGTCAGAATGCACACACCACTGGAAAATAAGTTTATGTAAAATCCCTTCTTGAAGAAAAGATGAACTTTAAATGGGAATAACAACTCTAGTAGAATATACAATGTCTTAAAAAAGGGACCTGGCCCATATGATCTCAAGGATGTCATTGTCTAATGTACACAATTGTATGATCTGTACTAAACATATATTTTATATTCTTCAGCATTAGTACTGAATAGTACTGAATTTCAGTAAACAACAAGAAAGGTTATTACAATTTTCTTCTCCAATTTTTGTAACTCATAAAGTTGAATATTAGTTTGTTACTCACTTTTTGTGACTCATAATGTTAGTATTGAATGATTTAAGAAAATAACATTTCTCTCTTTTTAGGTGTCCTTGGCAACATTTGGCATCTATTTCTTACTGGATGATGGAAACATTTTAACAGCCACTAAAGTGTTCACATCTGTGTCTTTGTTTAATATTTTAAGGCTTCCTCTGTTTGATTTACCAACAGTGATTTCCACTGTGGTCCAGGTATATCCAAAGTATTCTTTAACCAACACATTCCTGAATTGAAATCTATGGCTTTGCATTTCTATTTCTTTGTCTTTTTCTTTCTTTATTTTATTTTACTTTTTGAGGTTGTTTGTACTGCTTTTAAAATTAATCTCCCTGAATTAATGAGTAATAGAGAACATTATAGAATGGAAGGAAACATGTCTTCCTTGACTGTGCATTTTTTTTTTCTTTGATCAGAGAGACTTTTAATTATTTCAATATAAGATACTGGGTTTTTTTTTTTTGCTGAGTGTTAGTCTATTTAGATTTTTAAAAACTGGTGTGAGATACTATGCAATCAAGGGTTCATTTTCTGTTTTTAGTTGAAAATTTTTTAACTATGTGCTTCCTATAGAGCTGGATCTGAATGTTTTCCCAGGGTTTAGCAGTATTTCATCTGCACTGAATGAATAAAGTAGGGAGAAAAGTGAGTGCATTGATAATATCAGTCCGCCAACAAACCGTGTATGATGTTTCTGGTTCAGCCTGCCTTTATTGTCATCTCCAGTCGCTGCAGGCTCTTCCGATGCTATAATGAGTAGAAGGCTGCTAAAACCACAGGGATTATAAAGAAGTGAGTTCATAGCTCCCTCTGCCCTGAAATGTTCTCAATTAAATTTTTTGAATGTCAGGTTTGGGTTGTCTGGGTGTCCCACATCAAATCCTTCAACTTAAGTCTGCGTAAACAAAGTGATCCTTTGCTTATTGGAACCAGCTCTTTCATCTAAGAACTTTGTCTTTAAAATTTTACATTAGTTGAATAAAGAGTAACACAATTACATGGTAAACACCAGTCAAGCCATTTTTGTTACATCATACTTTTTTTATATTATTTTACTAATAAACACCAACAGAGAGCATAGTAATAGTATCAATAGGGTGCTTTTTACACTCATTTCATAGCACACATCTAAAGAAAATGTCATTCTTAGAATAACAGTTTTGTGCTGCTTTAGAGATTAGAATCTAGCTAAGGATCTGGTATCTCAGTGTTCTCTAACTCCTGGTGTTATGTTACTGCCTTCACTAAATAAATAAAGAGAACAACTGTCAAAGAAATAAGAAGAAGAAAAACAGTTTAAAAACAGCTAGCCCTGCGTACTGATATGACTCACTTGGTAAACAAAACCACAGCCTAATTACATCTTTTTTTTTTTTCTTCGCCCCAGGACCAGCCACTTTACCAGTGGCAAATAAAGGTTTCTGCAACAAATATAAATATTGAACTTTCCAATTACATCTTATCTATTAAAAATAGATGTCTCCTAGCATAAAGTGAATAAAAATATACTAGAGATTCATGGAAGTCAGTTTCAATGGAAAAAAATGATTTTATTTATCCTATTGTAGCTAAACATTTTATAGCTATTTATAGTAGCTATTGCCAAAACTATTATTTTAAATATACTCAGAAGCAGAATTCATTCAATAATCCTGAAGTTGCTTTTAAAAATGAATCTTTTTATAATTATAAATTACTGAGTTATTATGGCTTTATTAGAGCATTGAGGAATTTTTGTTTCTTAGTCTCATGACTTCCTGCAGATTGGACATTTGTTTTTATCTTGATTTTTGCAACTTTCCTTTTCTTTAGGTATTAATTTATTTATAAACATGGAAACAAACTGTACTAGCTGAAGATTCATCTCAGTATCTTGAATTTGCATGAAAAAATGTAATCATGCTATAAATCACAGTAAATGCTTTTTAGTTTAGATTCTACTTAAACTCCAAATAAATTCCATCTGCATTTATTTTTCTAGACAAGAATATCATTGGGTCGTTTGGAAGATTTTCTCAACAGTGAGGAGCTTCTTCCTCAAAATATTGAAATAAACTACACAGGAGGTTAGCAGTTCTTTGAATTCAATGTTTATTTGACTTTTGGGTTGAAGATAACTGGTTCTAAAATGCTTCATTGTACTTATTTTTCTTCCCAGATCATGCCGTTTGTTTTACAAATGCTTCCTTCTCCTGGGATAAAACAGGGATTCCAGTATTAAAAGAGTAAGTCATGGTTTGGAGAAAATTAGAAGCAAGGATTTTTTTAGCATTGAATTCTATAATATTGCATAGTTTTATTTCTTAGAGTTTTTAAAGCAGAAGATGAATATATTGAAATTTACCAGACTTTTCTTAAGCTTCTCACTGTACTTACCATTTTTTATTTTTTTGATTTCTAACACTTTTTTCTATTAATTTCCTCTGCAGCATTCATTTGCATTTGGAAGGTCGGGTGTTTGTAGAATAATGTATCATCATGTGAATAGCAGCAATGTTAAGAATGGTGCTCAGTGCTGTAAATTGTCTAGGATGATAGAATCAACTGTAATAAGAACTTCCTACATCATCTCTCCCTTTCTTACCCTGCAGCTTGAACATAAAGATTCCAGAAGGAGCTTTGGTGGCTATTGTAGGGCAAATTGGGTCTGGAAAATCGTCTGTGCTTTCTGCCATTCTGGGGGAGATGGAGAAACTTACAGGAGTAGTTCAAAGAAAGGTAAAGCAAATGATACATTCCTCCCACATCTCCTAGTATAATAGGCTACAGCCAACACATCATTAATGTCAATAAGAGTTTATCAAACTGAATTGAGGATGCAAGTGGGCATTTAATGGGCATTTCTAGTTTGTAACAAACATTTCAATTTCCACAGAAATTGATTAGCTATGGATGGATTAGTAACAACATTCTGTCCTCCAAATACTTCAGCAAATCATTTATGAATGCTTATGGTAATTGTTTGGTGATACTAACTGAATTGCAACCAGTTATAGAGAAATGAATGTGATTTATACTTTAATTGGATTAGGTTTCTAATTAATATTCATTGCAATGTTCCCTACTTAATTACAGCCATTTCATTTCTAAGGAGTTTTATAAATGGTCATGGGTAGGACCTTTGACCTAGAAAAACTTTAGAAAAATAACAATATTTACAGCTGACACTTAAATTTTAGCTTTTGGACAATGGAGAAATCTCCTTTCAGCCATTTGTTCTATTCTTCAAGGTCAATAGAAATAGGAATTGAACAAGATCTTTCTTAATCAGCTGTTTCTTTCTGAAGCACTAGTCTAGCTAACAAGTTATTCTTTAGACCTAACTTTTAAGTAAAATAGTGGTCTAATCCCTCCTACTTCTGACAAGATGGAGAAGCTCTACAGTTCTGAGACCAATTTCTTCAGTTGTTCCAAGAAAAATGAGCTCCAACTCCTTTTATTTTTCTTCATATCTTTCCTGATTCCAGTTCTTTAATGATAATTTTTTAATTTATTCTTTTCTCTGTCAGGATTACTATTACTTAGTTTAGGGTCAAGTATGATTTCTAGGACTTCTTCTGATGATAGGATTGCACTTTATAAATGCCACGATTGTCAGGCAGCTGCATCTGGGGAGGTCTGTCCCTCTGCACTAGGTGAAACCTCAGTCTGGATGGGGGAGGGTTCTGGAGTCTGAATAAAGAATTCTCGCGTGGGCCGTACAAGTATGGGTGAGGAAGGAATTCATTAAAGCAAGAGTAGTGAATGGCAGCAGGTGTGCAGGGTGCAGAGAGGGAGGCAGGGGAATTTCATTGAACTCCTGCTTTGCATAGAGCAAATCCCTTGCCAGCTGAGGGTCACCCGGCATCCAGCATCCACTTGAATCTGCACTGTGTAAGAACTAAACCCCTGCCACCCCAGGATTTGGAGGAACCACAGAGCACTGGATGGAATGAGATTATGTTCTGAGAACTTCCCAAAGGCACAGAAAGGAGACTTTTGGGCAAGGTCTGATTTAATACTAAAGAGCATGATTGTCCAGCTGCAGTCATATCCAGGTCACCCAGGTGACAGGAACTTGCATGCCCAAAGCAGAGATCTTAGTAACCCTCTCCTACTTGTCTGAAGTAGGATAGAAAGAGTGAAGACGTGTGCTTAGTTTTAGAATATTGAATGAAATAGCAAAGTAACAAAGAGGCGTACCACTGGGAAAGGGGTCTCTTATTAACCTCCCAAGAGGCTTGAAAGAACACAGTGACAAAACACAGTTAAGTGAGCAAGAAGACATCTTTATTTATGGCAAAGTACATACTGAAGAAAGGGGAGTGCTGGCAACCTCAGAGAGGAGGCTTGCTTAAAGTTTAGGATTTGTGTCTTTTAAGGATTTCAAGAATGGGGCAAAGGGTGAGGGGGCATAGGCTCAACATGTGGTCTCATGATGTCTGTCTCTGGAGAAGACATTACATCATTATCCATAGTCAGTCCTCTAGATAGTCTATAAGATAAACTTAACACAAGGAATTTATTGATCCTGGTATTCTCCAAGATAGTGGTTATCCTCAAGCAGTAGAAACATACTATTTAACTTGCCCTACCTTAAGATAGGGTCAGTTGTTGGCTAATTATTATAAAGAATGTTAGGAATATTACCTCCTAACTCCTTGATTTTTAAAATGGAAATCTTAGCCTTAAGATGGTATCCCTCCTGTACTTACTATACTATTTATATCTTCTCACCTTTTCATCATAGGCAGGAAAAATTAATCTTGATGCTTGTCCCATGTCCCTGCTTTACCTACCTCACCAGTACTTTTTAACCTGAAGTATATTATCTTAGTAGCCGTATGCTCTTCATAATGATTGCCATCAGCCATTTGTCTATAGTTCAAGATGATTATAACTTTTCCTAGGCCAGTGACTATCCTTTAAAAATATAGTGATTGTCATATTGATTTTATTTTCATTTAGTTCCTTCAGCTATTTTCACCAATCAATTAGTACCTTGCAATTAGTGCCAAGGAAACAAATACGAATATGATATTGCCCTCTTTTCACAGAGTTCATAGTATAGTGAGGGAGATACTAAGATCAACCATAACAAATGTTTAAATTAGATATAAAAAAAGAAGAGTTAGAAAAATAATCAGAGAGTAGTAGCCTTTTATTTGATCTTGAAAAATAATTAGGTATTGATCTAGATAAAAACAGCATCAATTCTTGGTTCCACTTAATGCATAAATGATACTAAGCATAAAAGGCTAAGGAGCAGATTAAATAAAATAATGTGCAGAGACCTAGCCTAGTTCTTGGCACAGAGTCACAGCTCCCTATGAATTTTTATGGTTATTATTGTCTTCCTCATGATCATTGAGGTGCTCATGGTAAGATTTAAAGATTATTTCTGATACCTTTGATGGTTTGTGACTAAGAAAGTGCTCATGGTGATGAAAAAAAACATACCGATTCCATTTCTAATTGTAAAAGCAGAGAGGACACCCTATGTTTATATTTAGCTAGAATCGTCAAAGAAGGAGGATATTTTCTGTCCATGTAACTGGCCACTTTATCCACAATGTCCAAGCCCATTGGTCTAGGTCAGTGGCAGAATTTGAGGTATCATACTGTGAATTATTTCCCAAAACATTTAAACCCTAAATTTGTAAATGTCATCCTAATTTTCTCTAGTACTAGTAATCATAATAACAACATGGCAAACTTAACGTTTAGTCTACAAAGTGCCTCGGTATACATCTTCCTGTTTCTCAAGGTTTCACATGAGCACTTTTTGTGGCATACCATCACAATGTTCAAACTCCCTATTCCCAGTGTCAGAAGACTCACACCAGGCTCCATTCATGCAGAGTATTCAGTTTTCAATTATCTTTGGTGAAACATAGGAGATCTAGAGACCTTTTTTGCATTAGCATAACTTCTATTGTAGTTTCATTATTAAAAATGAAATGAAGCAAAAACACATTTTCAATTGTATGTGAGAGGCAAAGAATCATAAAAATGAAAGGAAAAATTTTTCTCTCTGTGGAAATTGATTAACTCTTTTTCAGCTCCTGTTATATCATTACATGGAACCCATACCTCACAATAGTGGTCAGTTTCTGTTTTATATTATATGACATTTTTTTCTGTTCTTCAGTCTTTTCTCCTGTGTTGTCCTCTGTTCCCCCTTATCTTGTCTAATATGTAGCAAGTGTTCAATATCTCTATCACCCAAGGTCTGATTTAATATGCTATTCTAATCAAAGGTTATTCACTAGGCAAGTCAATTCAAGAGCAATTACTTTTGTGTTCAAGATCAAGTCAGATCAGAATTATATTGTTTTGGATCCAAAGCCATTCTATGTCTCACACACTCAACAAAGAAGAATTAAAACTTAATCTTTTGATCCTTAAAGTAGTTGATAGAAATCAAAAGGCCAATAATTACATATAGATCAGAAAGTATTTTTAAATGTTTGGTATTGTTATAGAGTGTGCAGTAGTCTAAATAAATACTCCAAAATCAATGTTTGGGTAGAGTCCATGGGGCAGATTGAATGATAAGTCTCTAGTTCAAATACTGTGGACCCTTTACAAGAAAAGAAGGGCTAGTTAAGAGGACATTTTATATAGCAGACTTTCATATATTCAGGAATCATTTCAAGATATAAAATCATCAAAGAACAAATTTAGGAGCACTGAGTATGTAGAAGACACAGCGATGTGCTGCCCTTCTAGGAAGGACTTGTCACCCAGCTATGAGAGTACAAAGGCAAGTCAGCAGACCCCTGAAGGGTTGGCCTCAGCTGCTGAGAGGCCTGGCTGAGTCCTCTCTTAAAGGCCAGGCCAGTTCAGCCTAACATGGAACAACTTTGAAGGGTAATACTCTTCTAGCTCATGGAGGGTTGGCCAAAGCCTTGTCGGATTTGGATCACCGTGTGACTTCTCCCTCTTTCCAATCCTTCCTCTTTTCCTCCTACAAGAATTAATCCCTGGGTTCCATAACTCCTTTTGGGTTCCTGGACCCAGTTCCAATGCATGTGGTGTGGAGGGGGTCTTCCCAAACATGACACCAAGCAATTCTCGACCACCAGCAGGGCATCTGAAAACTCAATTCTGATGCTATCTGCAGGGAGACGGCACCAGATTCCAGAGGTTAAGGGTGCACCCTACAAGACTGACCTCCACACCCTGACTCCAGACCCAGTCACAAGCCCCAGGCTGTTACCTGTGCTTCTGACCAACCAGCTACAGATTTGAGGTTTCAATGACCTCCCACTCAGGTTTGATAATTTCCTTGAGTGGCTCACAGAACTCGGGAAAATACTTCCATTTACCAGTTTAGTAAATGATACTGTAAGGGATTGTAACTCCTGGGGGGAAATGCTGGGGCAAATATCTTTGAAACCAAAATCAGTCAAAGGAAGAAATAAAGTGGGAAAAACCCATTTATTTCTTCCAAGCAGTCCACTTCTTTCCCATGTCTCTTGCAACCCAGCTGCAGAAGAGACCCCATCCAACCTCTCTGGTCCAGATATTCCCTACTGGCCTTTGTAATTACCTATTGATAGGGAGATGAACTACTTCTCTCTACCCATTGGAAATTCCTAATGATTTGGAGATGGACTACTTTTCTCCACCCCTTGGAAACACCTATTGATATGGAGTTGCACTAAGGCCAGGTGAGAGATTCTGGAAATACTGCAATTTTACCTACAGGATACAAGTTAACAGCCAGATGATGAGATGTATAGGGCAAAGTCCCAAATAAAAGGAGCCTCTATCCTTGTGGAGCTTGGGGCCTGGTTCAATTGGCATGTGTAAGCATTCTGGTTCCCCAAGCATGGAAGCTCTCTCCAACAGAGGAGCAGGATGCAAAATGAATGATCTTCTCCTTTCATGGGCTTTTGTGAGGGCATCACTGTGTAGTTAAGATTGACTAAATCACTGGCCACCGGATGATTTAACCTCCTTGGGTGGAGTCCAAAAGTCCATTAACATGACAAGACACCCATTTTACTTTTAAGACTCTGAAGTATTTTCAGGAACTGTAAAGAAGATGAACTATACCTGGGGCTGCAACAAAAAATTGAAGGGTAGAGACACAGTGGTGAAGCAGAGCAAAAGCTTTACTTGAATGTACTCTAAGGGAGGAATGGCCAGAGTCAAGGTAGACAAAGGCAGGCTTACCTGAATAAAGCAGAGAGGAAGGGAAGCTCATTGATGGAAACTTGCAAGCTCAAATCAGAGCTCTTGTTAGCCCCTCCTTACTTCTCTGAGGCAGGACAGAGAGAGAGAAGACTTGTGCTTAAAGTCTGGAAAATAGAATGAAATACCAAAGGAACAAAGACACCACTGGGAGAGCACAGAGACAAAACATAATAAATCAAGCAGTAAGAAGTCTTTTAAAAATACACACTCCAAGAAAGGGGAGTGTGGGCAACCTCAGAGAGGAGATATATTTAAGAGCTTAGGATTCTGTCTTTTAAGGCTTTCAAGAATGGGATAAAGGTACAGGGGCGAAGGTTTGTCATGAAGATGATGCCAGGGTTCTTGTTTGCAGAGCCAAAGAATGAGCTTCACAAACACTCAAGGTAGGAGAGCAAGGTACAGGCTTTTATTTAGAGATAAAGTGAGAGGAAAGAGCTCCTGGCTTATGACAGGAGGGGACAAGAAAGCCCGTAGTGGTACGTTGTCTAGGAGGTTTTATAGGCAGTTGAGGATTTTTCGAGAACATGAAAAAAACTTAGGGGTGTGGACTTGCATCAACTGCCCTGCCCTCAAGGTGGGCTGGGCTTTTGTCTGTCTGCTAGGGCCCTTCACAGTGAAATCATGGGTTATGCTGAGATACCCTTGCAGAACACTCAAATATTCCAGGCCAAGTTACTCCTGGCCTTTTGACCTTTAACTGATCTCACTGAAAATGTCTATGTTCTTAGTCTGGTATCTTTCCCTAGAGAATTAGTGTGACCTTGACTTTGCATAATGCTTAGCACAGAGTTTCAATGGGAACTTCTTTGCCCATTGTTACATTGCTCTGACTGTAAATATTCCTCCCTGCCTTTCCCAGAGGCCCTCACCGTACTCTGACTACACCCATGGTCCCTGTCTCAAGGTCTCATGATGTCTATCTACGGTGAGAGACAATATGTCATTATTCATAGTCAGTCTTCTAGACAATCCTGTAGGATAAACTTTCTGTTTCTCTCCAAGACAATGGTTACCCCCAGACACTGGGAACATATCAGTTAAGACTGCTTTCCTTCAGATAGGTTGTTGGCTGATTACCCAAAAACAGGCCAGGAATCTAACTTCCAAATTCTCTTTCAAAATGGAATCTTAGCCTTAAGATAAGTCCCTCCTGTTCTTATTATGCTATTCATATCTTGGCATTTTTTAAGGAAAATTAATCATGATGCTTGTCTCTGCTCTTTCTTACCTGCATTAGCTAGAGCAAGTCTCAAGGTCAGCCCAGATTCAGAGCATGTAGAATGAACTCACACTGCAGAGGGCATTTAACTCTGTGAATCCTTCTGGCTCTCTGGCTTCATCTGGTTAACTCCCTGAGGTCCTGGTGGGCCCCATACTCTTTTCATCCTGCTCATACCTGTATTTTTGCCTGCCATTAAACCCTAATATCGCAGAATGTGACTGTTTTTGGAAATAGGGTCTTTAAAGAGGTAATTAAAATAAGGTCAATAGGATGGACCCTAATCCAATATGACTGATGTCCTTATGAGAAGAGGAAACTGGGAAAACACACACACAGAGGGGGCATGTGGAAACTCAGGAGAAAACAGCCATGTACAAGCTAAGGAGATAGACATTAGGAGAAACCAGCTTTGTCAATCACTTGGTGTCAGACTTCTGGCCTCCAGGATTGTGAGAAAAGGCATTTCTCTTGTTTAAACCCCTGGTTCCCAATGGGGGCAGTACTGCCCACCGGTGGGCGCTGAAGAAACCTGAGGGAGCGTTTTTGGTCCGAGACATATTAACGGGTCATTGGGGACCAGCCGCCGCCCCCTTGGGCAATACTCGCATAACGCGATGAAAGGTTTGATTAATACATGACAGTGAATTTGATCAAAGCCAAGGCAACTATTTCTGCTTTCGTGCCAAAACTTGACTTGTACAAAAGAAATTTGAGCTGAAGACAGTTTTATCAGTTTCCAAATCGTTTTTCAGAAAAGATTTCAGGAAACAAATGATGATGACATTCTGGTTTATAGCCAGCATTTGGAAGCACTTAAAGAAGATTTTACAAATAGATTTCAGGATTTACTCAGCGTGATTATTCCAGACTGTCTTAGAACCTCCCTTGAACCTACAAATAGCAGAAGTATCACTGCAGGAGGAGTTGATAGAATTGTCAACAAATGAAGAGTTGAAATTGAAATTAAAAATTGGATATCAAGAATTTGGGCTTCAGAGGCAAATTCCAATATTAAATCCAGCCTTATCGGCTGTAGCAAAGAAGTTTTTCATTGCATTTCCATCATCATATTTAGTCGAAAGAGGATTTAGCATGATCAGCCATCTATTAACAAAGAAAATAAACGAATTGTCAATGGTGAAACATGGCAATTTAAAATTGCTGATTTCAAAAATAACATCAAACTTCAAAAAATTAGTGTCATCTCACCAAGCTCAACCCACTCACTAATAAAGATTTCATTAATTTTTAAAAATAATACATACTTTTCTAATTTTTTAAATTTTAATTATACTTTGAACAGTACATTAATATTGTTAATTTCTTCTAATAAGATGATTTGAAAAAAAATCTGTCCTTGTTTTATATGTAGTATAGTATAATTCACCTAAGGGGGCCTTATCAAATCACTCTTTGAAAAAGTGGGTGCTGAGCCAAAAAAGGTTGGGAACCTAATGGTTTAAACCATCCAGTCCATGGTACCTTGCTAGGGCAGCCAGTGCTGACTAATACACTCAGCATCTACTAGAAAATCCCACCAGAAACAGATAATTTTGATAGATACTAGAGTGAAAGTAAATAAGAAGCTCAAAGTAATTCATTTGAAGTGGCCTCTAATAAGCATATATAAGATTAAAATGTAAATAGATTGTACTAACATTTAAGAAATAACCTAGATTTTTTTAAAAATTCAATTTAAAGATAAAGAAGGCAAGACGATGGCCTAAACTTAACATGGTGCATGCAACTTCTCATTTTCCCTTGTAAAGAGTCTTTATTTTCTTTCTTTCTTTTTTAGGGCTCTGTGGCTTATGTTTCCCAGCAGGCCTGGATTCAGAATTGCACTTTACAAGAAAATATTCTCTTTGGCTCCATCATGCAGAAGCAGTTTTATGAGCGAGTATTGGAAGCCTGTGCTCTCCTTCCCGATTTGGAGCAATTACCAAATGGAGATCACACTGAGATTGGAGAAAGAGTAAGGAATATATAATTTGTCATTTACAGGGATAAAATTTCAGCTGTGCTAATAAAATATTTATAGTTTTTAATTGATGTCTTTAACAGCTATGTAACTATAATTTTAGAAAATCATTATAGGATTCCTATGAAAAAGATGGCAGTACTAAGGACAAATAATTATTTGTAATTGACTATTTGGAAAACATTAAAAATCAGCAAGAAATTCTGTTGTTCCTATCCATGTGAGGGAATGAAAGTACACCAACTGGATGATCAACACTTTATTTTAGTTCTGACATAATGCTGTTCACTGTCTAATGAATGAATAATAGATTTGTTCTTTCCTCTATCTCTTATGCACAAAGAAGCCTAGGACAGGGGAGACTGTGCACCAGTGTCCAGTGGAGGCACTGAGGCTGGGCTCTAAAGAGGCTCTGGGTGGATGTTCTCATTTAGGTGCCTACTCCACATTTACTCATTCCTCTTATTTAAGAGAAACTTGTTTCCTAATCATTTTATTCTTCTATTTTATTTTATTTTTGTTGTGTTAATGAGTAGTCGTGCTGCTTAGTGTTTTGGAGTTAAACAAAATAGAACAAAATGAGATATCATGACTTGAGAGATTATCCCCAACCCGAGTAAAATCTCCATTGAATGCAAAGACAGCCTCTGCCTGTGACTCACGTGTACTATGAAGGAGAGTAAATAATCCTTACTGAATGCTTTGAATTTCTGAAAAGAGAGTTAGGCATAACATTGTTAGGCATTTGTACCCCTGATTTCATGTTGTTTAATATACCTGTTAGGTAAGTTAATATATAAAATCTATCACAGAACAAAACTGTAGAATATAGAAATAATAAAATCAAGGATGAGATAAAATTTACCTTTTAACTAGACTTATAATGGCTTCATGTATTTTCTTAAAATATTAAACTGATTTAATATTTTTCTAACCTCTTTTTTTTTCTGATGTCTTCACTGTTCCTAGGCAAAATGGTGCCACTGCTTAAGTTATATAGAAATGTGATTTCTTCAAACTTATTAATATACATTGACCATTAGGCTGATAGAGCCAATCTCTAATAATATGAAAGAGCTGGTAGCAGTATGTAAGTAAAACTCATTTAAGGAGGAAAAATTAAAATATGAGGTATAGATTTAATGTAGGCTTTCAGTGTTACTGCCATTTATAATTTCTGCTTTTTAAAATTTAATTTCTCCAAATCTGATGAGGTACTTTAAAATAAACATGTAATTGAATTTTGCAAAATGAAATCTGTTTATGACACAGCCAAGATGACAAATATAGAATTTCCCTCATTTCCATTCATCTTTCCTTTGGCATTCTTCAATTGACCACAAACCCTGATTAGTCTTTAATCTGCTATCGGGTACATAGTGCTGAGCAAGAGAGCTGTACCCACCTTCAAGGGATTTGCAGCCTAGTGGATCTCTGCCAATCATATTATCAATATTATCAATTGTCTTTACCAGTATTTATAATCACCCCGAGTCAGATCCTCTCAATGTTTTGGGAATGCAAGGATTACTAGGTAGAATCTCATAGGCTAGTGAGAACAACTGACCTGGATATTGCTGTCGCTAGCAATGGGATGAGTAAGCAAGTCTGGTTAGCAGGCCACAGGCAGTTGAGGGCAGCTCTGAAAGGGTAGCTGACAGATGAGTTAATACCATAATGTAAGTATCTTAGATTTATACTAGGAAATTTGCTGTTGCTTATGGATGACAGGAAGAGAGTGATGTGGGCATTAAGATTTTTAAGCAAGATGATGGCAGTAATTACAGGATAGGTGAGACAAGTCAGAGGATAGGTGGGCAAGAGGAGTGATTGGGTGATAATAGCTAATGTTGTTCATATGTGTATTTGGTGTTAGATTTGTCCTGAATATTTCACCCTCATCTTATTAAATGCTCATGACAAACCCATGAGTTGGGGGCAGTTACAATCTCACATAAACACACACACTCTCACATATGTATGTATGATATTACTTTATATATATTTTTTCATACCCAGCTGCCATGCTAAACTGTGACCTCCTCATAACAGAAACTCAATTTCATTTATCTTTGAATCCCAAGTGCTAGCATAGCACCCAGATTATAGTTATGCAAAGGAGATATTTATTGAATAATGGGGGAAGAGAAAGACAAAGAAGGAATGACATTTAGAAGTTACAGGTAACTGACTAAGTTCCATGCTACACGGAGAGCTATTAAATGAGATCTATGAAAATTAAATATTAAATAAATCAAGTAAATTGGATCTGGACCCATAATTCTCCATACGTGGCTGTACATGTTGACTTTAATCCTTGCATGGAGTGATGTATATTCCTTATTCTAGCTTCTTAAAGCTGTACTTTTGCCAACATGACTTGTACTAATCTTTCTACCAAAGAAAATAGGACATGTTGATCACTGCTTTGGTAATTTAGCTATTATTCTTAACTTCCCATGTGTCAATTTAAAAATGATCACTGGTGTCAGCATATGGTTGGCAGCCAAAAGTCTTGTTTAATATCCCATAGGCAAGACTTCTCAGGGAATAGGAAACTCTTTCCACCTTAACCCTTAGTATCTACTTTTGAGAGCCAGCAATTCAGAGAAAGTAGCTGTATCTGTTACTTTGCACAAATTAGTAGCACTGGGAAATGGGGTGTGTGAGTGAATCTTTTTAGGATAAAGTCTTGAGCATTAGTCTTGAGTTATTGTCTACTTCTGCTACGGAAGAGAATATGGGTGTAACTATATGTGCTTTGAGATGTACACATTTTCCCTCTGGTCTTCGCTTTTTTACTCCTGCTTTTTTTTCATTTTCAGGGTGTAAATATGAGTGGGGGCCAGAAGCATCGAGTAAATCTGGCCAGAGCTGTCTATAGTGGAGCTGACATCTACCTCCTGGATGATCCCTTGTCGGCAGTTGATGTTCATGTTGGAAAGCACCTTTTTGAAAAAGTGATTGGATCCTCAGGCATTTTGAAAAACAAGGTAACCATAGCATTACTTACGCTTTTTCGGGGACAGAGAGGATAACCTCCATAGCATTGTGCCTAATATTCCAATATGTTGTTTATTTGTTGAAGAAAAGTAGTCAAATTTCACTTGAAAAATGCGATGTTATATTGCTTTTTTACAGACAAATTTTAATGAAATTTTTTTAAAGTTTTACTTACCTATTTACTCTGACAAGTTATGTGACTGTTACCTCAGAGGCTAATACTAATCCCCATATTCTAAGGGGATTTATGTGTCAAAGTGAGTTGTTTTTAGTTTAATTGACTTTAATTTGAAAAATGCAAAGTATGCTTATGTAAGTTTGTTTTATTGATTACGTATTACTTAAAAATTGGTATTAGTAACTTAGCAATAATAAGAATTCAGTTGTTTTGTGAAGGGGCCAAGAAGAAAGGAATTAATATTTACCAAAGGCATACCATGTTTGGGAGTAAGTTAGTTATTTGGTACCTATCGTAAGTCTCTGAGATAGGTATTGTTATTCTTGTTTTACATATGAAAAAGCTTGGGGCTTAAAATGACTTGTAAGTTGTTTAATTTAAGAACAGCAGAGATTTTAAGTCTGTCTGACCACAGAGTCATGTTCCTTCCTTCATAATAGGTGTTTATATATTTATTAATATAGAGCACTCTGGAAAAATTAAATAAATGTACAAAATATGTATCTCAGTAAATAATAGAAAAATGTCTTTACTTATTTAAATGAACCTAAGATAAAACTCCTCATTCAATATCACATGTATGTATACAATAATATGGAAAGATTTAAATATAAAGACTATGAATTGTGACTTGAACCAACACTTTATTTGTAATGCTACAGACCCTAAAAAGGGAAGCAAGAATAACAGATGTGAAATTATTTTAAATTGATGCATTTTAATGAATGAAGAATACTCAAACCAAAAGGTCAAAAAAATTTGCAAATGACTTTTTCTTGTCTAACAGCTTATCATCATTCACTGCAAAATATATGCTGCCTTAAACTGGTACCTAACAAAAATTACACTCTGAAATAGTAGAGACAAAAAAACAAAAAACAAAAAAAAACATGAATGCAACTATTTTAAAATAATTTATTTTTGCTATTTTTTGTAACCCAAGGAATAAAACATTGTTTTTCAGACTCGTATTTTGGTGACACACAACCTCACACTTCTACCACAGATGGATCTTATTATTGTCATGGAGAGTGGCAGAGTAGCACAAATGGGAACGTACCAGGAACTGCTGTCTAAAACTGAAAACCTCATAAACATGCTTCAGGCCTTCAGGGAACAAGAAAAAGGTGAGGACACAATGAAAAATAAGCCTAAGATACACTGTATCTACCATTCTGAAAGTCCTTTAGCTGCCTGATTTCTTTACATTTTTTTGCTTTTCATCCTGCTTAAAAGGAGCTAAATAAACACCTTCCTTTCTCCAGAAAAGAATGTCCCACATATAGTGGGACACATCAGCTAAAAATCAACCTTATTTATGATTTTTAAGCAATATTTTATGCCCCAAGGTCTATTTGTTCATCTCTGAAATAACAGATTAGATGATTTATAAGATCTATTGCAGTCTAGAATATAATGGGTCTCAACTTTCTCCTTTATTTTGAGTTAAGAACAGGGAGCATAAATCCATGTCAAATGAATAATAAATATTTTACATATATTATTGCATGTTGAGAGATAGAAATAAAAGAAAAAGAATCTGAGGAAGGACAAGAGGAATGATATTTGTCTAACAGTTATAAAATAACAATTATTTTAGTTAATAATTTTTGTTGCTATACTATACTCCTAGCATTTTAAATTAAGTTTCATAGACGTTTATGTAAATGAAGTGGTTTGATCCTTAACTGATTAGGACACAGGGATGTTTTGAGATCCAGCATTGGCTTAATATATGTCAGAGATCATTCATTTCCCAGCTCTGCAAGTTGGTTGTGCTGTCATCTCTTCTTCCAGCTAGAAATGGTTTCTCATGTAGACCACCATCATGATCCCTACCTGGCCCCTTTCCAGAACATCACTGAGAAATGACTGTCAAACCTATTAACTATTTCATCATTTCAGGGTAAAAGAAGAAATATATAGCTATGTCTCAGTATTTCCTACATGAACTGGTATCCATAAATTCCCTTCACACATTAGCTGGATATAAAGTTCATAAAAATATGAAAACAGTTTATAATAATATCAGTGTAATGTATTAGTTGAATGCCTTGAAATAAAAAACCAAAGCTGTGTGGCTGATGTATTTCTTTTCTGAGCCTAAGCTAATCCACATTAGTTGTGTACTGCTTTTTTATTCCTTGGTTTTCTTTCTTTCTTAAATTCAAATGTTCTGTATGTAGATTCATCCCAAAGTATCTGATGTATCATCAAATGTCTGTGGTCATTCTTAATAAAAGAAGTACTTCTTCTCTTAATGTTGGCAGCTTTGGAAATGATCCCTTGCCTACTTGGCCAAGCTAAGTAATAACTTATGCTTAGTGTGTAGGAAAGAGATGTCCATGAGTATGTCCTAGGATGAGAATGAAGAGATGGTCTGCCATTTTTCTCCATTCCCAACACTTAGGTAGCCTTGTACTAGGCAAATAGCAGGTATTCAGTAGCTGTTAGATGGCTAAATCTCCTTCCATTGTTTCTACTGGAAGTGTGTTTCCTTTGGAGTTAATGGGATGATTTCAAAAACTATCAGCCACTGTATTTTTTGGCCATTTATTTTTTTATTTTTTTATTTTTTTATTTTATTAAGGTATTGTTGATATACACTCTTACGAAGCTTTCACATGAAAAAACAATGTGGTTGCTACATTCACCCATGTTATCGTGTCCCCCCCATTACCCCATTGCAGTCACTGCCCAACAGTATAGTAAGATGCCACAGTCATTACACTTCTCTGTGCTACACTGTCTTCCCCATGATCCCTCCACATCATGTGTGCCAATCATAATACCCCTCAATCCCCTTCTCCTCCCCCACCCCTCCCCTTTGGTAACGGCTAAGTCCCTTCTTGGAGTCTGTGAGTCTGTTGCTGTTTTGTTCCTTCAGTTACTTCATTGTTATACTCTACAAATGAGGGAAATCATTTGGTACTTGTCTTCTCTGCCTGGCATATTTCACTGAGCATAATATCCTCCTCCAGCTCCATCCATGTTGTTGCAAATGGTGGGATTTGTTTCTTTCTTATAGCTGAATCGTATTCCATTGTGCATATGTACCACATCTTCTTTATCCATTCATCTACTGCACTCAGGTTGCTTCCATATCTTGGCTATTATAAATAGTGCTACAATAAACATAGGGATGCATATGTCTTTTTGAAACTGGGCTCCTGCATTCTTAGGGTAAATTCCTAGGAGTGGAATTCCTGCGTCAAGTGGTATATCTATTTATAGTTTTTGAGGAACGTCCATACTGGTTTCCACAATGGTTGAACTAATTTACATTCCCACCAGCAGTGTAGGAGGGTTCCCCTTTCTCCACATCCTCACCTGGCCATTTATTTTTAAGTTAGATTACTTTGGGAAATGTAGCTTTAACAGAAGGCAACGTGCAAGTTTTAAGTTCAATATTTAACTTAGCAAAAAATACAAACAATGTGTCTTTTGAAAGCTGTGGAACTTGCTCTTGTTTAAATCCCCTACATATCATGCCTTCTCTACATTTATATACCTCATTATGTACATGAGTCCTCTATGGTAACAAGTAGAAAGCAATATTATTCTTGAATTTGGATGGTTGGTGGTGTGGACAGAGCCTGGACATATGGGCTGATGTGACCACAGACATGATGCCAAATAAAGGCGTGGTGGGAGAGAAGGGGGCAGGGACCTTAACAGGGCCCACCTTGCCCAGGGCTGCCGTGGTGTTCTGCAGAGGAGCTCTTACCAGTCCTTGCCTTCCAGGTGGTTGGGAGGTGTATTGGTCAGGATAAACTATGGAATTCATTTATGAATCTGTCAGTTCAATCTAACTGCTAAATAAATAGAAATCCGGCATGCGGACCTTCATTTACACTTTGCCTCAGTTCCTGCGGATGTTGAGGGAGGTTTTTTTTATTATTTGCATAAATAATCTGGAAAAATCAAATTATATCTGAGAGTATTTTTATTGGGATTTAGGGGAAAGGGACATTCCAAAAGAGTGGGATTTGAGAAGCATGATCCCCAGTTCTAAATCTCTGATGTGATCTATCATTTAGTTATTGTAATTTATCCTTTTTTGCTTTTGAGTCTTTTCAAGAATTCCTTTCAAAGGTACACAATCCTTTATGTGACAGATACACTACAGTGGGAGTAAAAGTCAGCACAAGATTGTGTAAAAAACAGTGGATTAATTTTAGGAGCCCTGGGTTCTAGTTCTAACACTGAATAATTATGTGTCTTCACAGAAATGACTTAACTCCTCTGGTTCTTTCCATTTATAAAAAAATAAGACTTGAACTAGATCTTTTTCCCCAGCAGTTGATGTGGAGCTGAACAATGCACATTTTTATCACTTCTTTTTCTATTCTCTCCCTCACTATTGGAGTTGACAACAGTAACTTAGAAGAGTAGTATTTATAGTATAATTTGGGTTTGGATACATTGAATCTCTAAGAATCCATTTAATTGAAAAATCAACAAGCCCTACCTCATGGAAATACTTACTGTATAAGAGTAGCAGTGGTGAGGAAAGGGTTAATCAAGAAAGATAGGAGGACTAAGGATGAGTTTAGATATTTATAGGTATAGTCAAGGCTAATAATACTGATGATAGCTAGAATGTTTGGGGTATTAATTATGTCAATATGTCCACAAGTTTTACATTAATTTAATCCTTCGTGACACCTCCTGAATGTACATGGTCCTGGTTTTACAAAGGGATTAGATCTCTTGCAGAAGTTAAGACTGATTGTAAGTAGCAGAATTTGAATTGGATGCTGCCCCTGTTTCATGCCAGAGGCCAACCAGACTCTTAAACTTTGTATCAAATATGTAAGAACACGTACTTGACATAGTACAAAAAGGAGTGTATGGCTCAGATTACTTTCTCTCTTTCTGTATGTCTTTGACAACTTTGAGTTTCAGGCAAGTCACTTATCCTATCCTATGAAATTGCATTTTTTCCCTTGCAGAATATGGGTAAGTTTACCTATTCTTTTTATCTTATCAGCTCATTTGGCACTTAAATTATATAATGTATGTGAAAGTGCTCTATAAATTATAAATATATAAATATAAACATTATTATTTTAAACTATAAAGATGAGAATGTTTCTTAGACAGGAGAGGCTGAAACATCTCCAAACTGAATTTTCATTTGTGAGACATGGAATTCCATGTTTCATAGAGGTAGTTGATGTAAATCAGATTCTTCCATTAAGGGTTAGATGTTTACTTCTAGAAATAAGAAAAAAGAATTCATGTAAGAGATCTGAGAAATCTGTAGGTCCAGTTTCTTCCTTTTAAAGATGACAAGTCTGAATTCAAGGAGCTTAATTATCAAACTATAAAAAAACAGCTTTGGGATGTTTCCCATTAAATTCACTAACAGCAGTAAACCTTAGTCTTGTAGTTCTAGATGTGTGACCTGGATTTGTGAGACCTGCTTAACTTCTCTGTGCCTCAGTCTCTTTATCCCTAAAACAAGGATAATTATAGTATTTTCCTCATAGGAGCAGCTTTGAGAGTTAAGTCTATATAAAACATCTACAACAGTGCCGCCATAATGGAAGCTATTATTGGTATTAGTGACATTAGTAAGAACGTGACAGACATTTGGGGTATTTACTGTTTTGTTTTCTTAATAATCTTCACAATAATCACATTTGTCTATAAAGCTTGATGAAATTGCATTTTTCTTCTAAAGACTAGAGTTGTGTTCCTCTTGGGAAAATATTTAGCTTTTCTGTGGAAGGCCCAAAACAAGTTAGCATCCCTCTCTAACATCCAAAAGAGAATTTCTCTATGGGCTTTTTCGTTATGGAATCTTAGTTTCATTGTCATTTTAGGTGAAGGGAAAATAATGCAGAAAATGGAGAGATTCTCAGTATAGCTGAGGATCTAGCACACAAAAATTTCTGCAACTTGTATAATCTTTCATTGGATTTCTATATTGTATATTGTTTCCTTATATGGATATAAAAGCAGTCATCATCCTCCTTTCCAGCTCAAGCTTTAAAGCAAGTCAGTGTAATCAACTCCAGAACTATACTGAAAGACCAAATCCTGGAGCAAAATGATAGGTGAGTATTAGGATAATATCAGGCTCACTGGGATTATGGTCTAATTAATTATATTTCTTTTAGCACTGAATCCTATAAAAAAGATGTATACATTATAATGGATATTAAATGTGCTTAGTGGTTTCTAAATTTTAAACTATAAGTTAGATGAATATGACAGTGTGGGAAACATAAGCTCATTAGACACTCAGTAATTTCTAGCCAAATTATAGTAGTAAAAATCTACAGTGATTTTTTGTGTGTGTGCCAAAAATATCCTCAACCCACAGCATTTGTATACACTACAGATGTGAATGTCAAAATAGGCTTTAGACATAAAATTCTACAATGGACTGGGATGATTGTAAGGCCAGAACATGTGACCTAGAAATACGGATTTGGTACAGGAGTTGAAAATCTGTTTAGAAAAACAAGAAGGAAGGAAGGAAGAGATGGAGGGAGGGAGGGAGGAAAAAAGAGAGGAATGGGAGGAAGTGAGAGAGAAATAAAAATAATCAAACTTTGATTGAATTTTATTATATTATGCTTTCTTTTTTTGAGATTTCATAGTCTCAAAAGGATTCACATCTCAGAGTAAAATCCTAAATCCTTACAATGACCTGAAAAGTCAAACAGGACCTGGCCCCATCTACTCTTGTAATCTCAGAACCTCCTAAACCTCACCCCTCACTCTTCTGCTCCCCCAACACTGACTCCTTTCCTAGAACAATGAGCCACATTTCTACCCTTGGGCCTTTGCTCTTTTTGATCTCTCTGCCTTGGGCATACTTCTCCCAGATACCCAAATGGCTTGCTCACCTACCTTCCATAGGACTTTGTTCAAGTATCACCTCATCAATGAAGATTGTCTACCTACAGTATTTTGTATCACAATACTTCCAACTCCCTTTTGGATTTTTTTTTCCATAATCTTATTAATCTTCAGCATACTGGAAAATTTACTTGTTTACTTTTATCTTTCTCTCACCTCTAGATTATAAACTGTAAGAGCAGGAATTTTTGTCTGTTCACTGTTCTGTTGCCATGTAAACAAGTTTCAGTTAAATGCTTAATAACATATAAACTGGTTTTGAACAAGTAGTTTTTTAATGGATGAATAAATAATTAGAGACTGAAAGAAGAGTCAAGGATCTTTAATCCATCATTTATTTTATTTTTGACCATTATAACAATAAATGGTCTAAGTTAAATAAATATAACTTCATTAAAATGAGTGTCAGTTTTTAAGGATCTTCTAGAAAAGTAACTCTAGAAGCCCTTAAACAGTCTTGGAAATCCATGTGCTGTAGGATCCACACATCTCTTAATCATAAAGAAAGTTTCCCCCTGTGTATAGTCTTACCATGCCCTCAATGAGTAGCTTGCTTAAAAGCTAAAAACTTAGAAATCAGTAAGTATTGTTGTAACTTAATTTTCCTTATTATAAATGTTAGTCATGCTATCTAAATCGAATCCCTCAAAGTTTCTGTGAAACAAACTGTTGGGAAATTTCTCCTTGAAGAAAGAATCCCAATCCTTAAAAAGTTTTGTTCCGAATTGGTTTCTAATCATTTCTTGAATTGTGGAGGCTCAAACTGGAGCCAAAATTTTGAAACAGTTTAATGAATCTCAAATCCAATATCAACCCAGCATTGAGCTTACTTTTTAATGATTGTGATAAAAATATTACTGGATGTCCACGAATCCCCCACATGCCCGTCTTTTCTTGTTTTTAATCATAGTAATTAAATCACTTTCTATCTTGTGTTTGAGAGACCAGAAATGTATTATAATTTTTCCAAAATATGTGCATGTTTGCTACTTCCGATGCATTCATAGTTTATTACTTTCTGTGCTATTTCCTATTCTAGTATTTATTTTTTTAATCTGCTATACTATTTGGTAAGATAGTAAATAAGAACATTTTCCTGGCTTTTCAACATAATTTTTTTTTTAAATCACCCAATTATTTCCAGTTAGTGTAGAATCAAGGTAGTCTAGAGGTTGAAAGATATAAGTAGGAAGGAACTTAACTGCACTTAGAGGCTCCCTACAATGGGCTCCACTAAGGTAGAATACAATGAGTTGCTCATGGGGAAACTGGCTAACTGCCCATTAGTAGGCAAGTGGAAAGGAAGACAGTTGGACCAAATAATGTCTGAGAATCCCTTCCTCCGAAATTTAAGAATTAGAATTCTTTATGATGTTAGTTCAATTTTCTAATAGGACTAAAATAATCTAAACTGCTTCCACATTTTATTTTTCATTTTTGGTCTAAATTTATACGGTATATATAGTTTTTTTCCTTAAATGTTTATTACTATCTTTGAATAAAATAAACTGGTAATGTTATTTTAGTATCTAGACTGCCGCCTTCTGGCTTTCATGTCAGACTCTTAGTCCTCTCGTAGTTACTCTGTACTTTGCAACTGTATGCTCCATTCAGGGAAAACGGTTTCAGTATGTTAATTTTATATCTCTTATACAAAAATATGCAGAAGGGTATTGTGCCAACTTTCCTGAGAGCTTCTGAAGGACAGAACAAGACTCATTTTTAAAACTTCTCTACCAGCATAAAATAATTTGCTCTTTTAAAATTCAAATAAAACTTATTTGCAACAAAGTGCTCAGAACCAAATGAAGTATTTTTTCTGGAAAAAAAAAAACCACTGTTGTTTGGAAAAGCAACACCCTCTTGTATAGTGCCCAATAAATTATTGGTCTTTGTTAATTATATCTAATTAAGGTGCTTTAATTCCCTTTTAACAGTTGGGTTTCATAGCATTTATATCCAGCTACATTAAGAATTAATTTTTTGGCTTGACACCAGTGCTAAATTTGCTTATCCGAACAGAAGCCATGCCAAGGGCTTGAAGGATCATGAAAGTAATTAACCCAAATCATATGCCAGGAGCTATTCCAATGGAAGTGTCTGTTAAATAGTGTGTCTTTTCCTGACAGCAAAGCTGACCAAGGGACATGTACTGCCACTCCTTCAGAATGTTTTTTGACACTAGTGTCAGAGGTAGGAAGGGAAAAACTACTGGCCTAGTCAAATAAATACATTGGGAAACCTGGTGAAATGGAGGCCTACACCTTAGTTTGATATTTCTAGAGGTCAGTTTGATATTAGGTATATCAAATACTTAGAATTTAGAATACCTCATGGTTCTGTGTCCCTAAAAATGACAGAGAGATGCGTAAAAAGAATGATCATTACAGCAATAATTAAAGTAGGAAATATTGCAACCACTTTAACTAGTTTTGTTAAAATAATATTGTGTTGTCATATGACAAAATACAATGTTGTTATAGCATCATATTTGAGATTCATTATATTCAGTTACAAAGACCATGTATAAAATTTTTTGAAAATTGAAGACCAGTTATAGAGGAACATTTGTATTTTAATACCACACACACATAGAGAAAAGACTATAGCAATATTCACAAGCATGTCAGCACCACAAGTCTCTGGACATTATCTGGAACATAGGATTTTGAATCTGTTTTTCTTCTGCTTGTCTTCCTCCTCTCTTGTCCCTCCTCCCCTCCTTCTTTGTCCTTAATCTTCTTATGATATCCTTTGTCCTTAATGTTCAGTATTTTTCAAATATTTCTCCGAGAATACAATTCCAGAGGAATTGATGAGTACTTAGTGATTGGTTGGAAATGTGTCAAGATTAAGACAGAAGTGTTATGGCCCTTTACAAAGCCAGAGAAAGCTGTAGAGGAGCTCGAAAAATAACTGGTTCAGTTTCAGGTGTGGATGAGATAAATAAGCAAAGAGATGAGGTAGATGGCAAGTCAGCATTTTGCTCTGTGGGTCTGGGAGGGATATGGACAAGAGAAGTCAATTTGAGCTTTGCCCTTAAAGAAGGTTATTGAAACCGTGGGAGTGGATGAGATTGCTCGGGAGTGTGTAAAGCTTACAAAGGAGATATCCACTACAACTGAGTCTGAGGAAATAAACATCGAAGGGATGCAGAGAAAGGACCCTAAAGAGGAATCAATAGAGGGTCAAAGAGTTGGAGAAAATATACATATGTCAGGGTAGGGAAGTAAATGGAAAGGTCCCTTAGACAAGGGAGTGGTCAATGATTTTAAATGTCACGGGGAGTTTATGTGAAATAATATTCAAAGTATCCCATGGATATAGCAGTAAGAATTTTCTTATATCATCATGGCCCTGTTGCTGAAACAGTTTTGACCAGGTGTCACAAAGTTTGATTAGAAAAAGGTGATTTGGCAGAAAAAAGTTTGGCTATAAAAAGGAGGCAAGTAGAATTGCTAACTGAAGGGAGACGGAGTTGAGGGAGCATCTTCTCTCTTTACAATGAGAAGAATTTGTTGTCTATGGACTGATGGGAAGGAGTCAGTAAAATGGAAGAAGGTCAGGATTAGAGAAGAGAGGGAACAATTCAGGGTTTCCTAGATCTGTTTTAAGAACGCCTGGGTCATTTGTTTAAAAGACAGATTTCTAGAGAGGAAATTGTATAATCTGTGTTTTTGACAAGCACTGTCAAATGACTCATTGACAGGAAAACGTGGAAACATTATAGTTAATAAATATATTTTGAGAAAATGGGACAGAAGGGGATTTAGGTCATAAGATTATCCTTAGCTCTGGAGGGAGAACTACCTTTGTTTGTTACTGGAGAGAATTAGAGAAGACTGGCTGAGATGCAGATAAACGTAGAGGTTGGTGACTGACTTTCTTGTCAGCTTCTATTTTCTCCATCAAGCAGGATGTGGGCCCTCTTCTGAGACTGATGCAAGAATTTCTAGGCACTATTAACAGCTCAGGTGGAAGAAAAATACTAATTTGTAGTGGAACCAAGTTGGAGGACTGTATGATTTTTTGAAGCATCAGTCCACAGGTGGTGAGAAAGGGTAATGAAGACTGACAAGTGGATTCTAACACAGAGGTTTAATAGAAGGAAAACAGGGCCTGAGAGTTCAGAGTATTACCACAGTTTGGATGAAATGGTAATCATGGAGTACAGTATAGGCTGGATAATGAAGGGAATATAGAGAGGGCATAAGTTTGCCAGGGAATGAAAGTATCCTGGAATGTGGGATATATAATGCTAAAACCAGGAATAATGGTAAACCAGGATCTTTGATCATCCCAGAGCACAAGGATAATAGAAAGCTGGATTTGGAAACTGAGAGTCAAGATGAAATAAAAACCAAATGTAGTGAGAGTAATTGAAATAGAAGAGGTTATGGCCAGAGACTGAAATGTTTAGAGTGGGGCTTCAGAAGTAGGTTAGTTGCAGATAATAAGTTTCAGAGCTTAAATCATGAAAGTTGATGGCCAAAGTAGAATGCAGATGAAGGATCCTGGAAGTGTGAAGGTCGTGAAGTTGAAAAGAGACTGAGTTTAATACAGTTGTCTATGTAAGGTATGACATCACCCAGGATGGTGGCAGAACAAAGTGGGATGAATGAGTCTGATGCTATTCCTCTGTTAGGCAAGGAGGCAAGTAGATGACAAGGCATATATTATGGTACCGCCAGGTGGCATAGCTTTAATATAGGAATTTGGCTTAAGGCTGAAGCATAATTATCTAGAGAAGCAGTGAAAATTCAGACACTATGTCCTGGTTCTGTAATATGTGGGGTATGAAAAAATAAACAATCTGCCTATTTGAAGATTAAAGAAACAATGTTATCATTAGGGCAGGTCAGCTTGCTGTTAAAGAAGTAGAGGAATATGCAACAAAATGGTGGAGAAGGTATAACTTTAGAGAAAATGTTTGGTTGATTTGAGACCAAAAAGTGAACATTGTATTGCTTTATCAGGCCCTCACTGGATCAAGGAAAACAGTTCTCAGTGAAAAAAGAGAAGATCCCTATTGGTGGGGTAAGCACCAGAAAAACTAGTGTTATTGTTATTAACCACTGAAATATAAAAGATTACATTGCATTATTAAAAAATACCATTCATTTTTCATTGAGTTTGAGGAGGGTTGCCATATAGTAGTTTTAAGAAATTAAATAAAATGGAACTGTTTGGCTATTATAGTGATGTTTAATTAGGATTACATGTTATTAGCTATGTATATTCCTGTTTACTAATAATAGTGACTAAGATTATTTGAGCATTTATCTTTAAGTGCTTATGAGTCTGCTAGCACTTTATAAGGTAGCTACTTTTATTTCAATTCACAGATGAGTAATCTGAGGGTCAGGGGAGTTAGTGATTGGACCAAAGTCATCAAGTTTAGGAAATATCTGCTAGGATTTAAGTCTAGCTTATCTGACTTTTAAGTACAGTAACCTAATTTTATGTCAATTTTGCCTTTAGATAAAGTTCTCAATATTTCTGAAGTACCTTCAAGCCTTTGGCTGGCTCTGGGTGTGGCTGACTGTGGCCATTTACCTTGGGCAGAATTTGGTGGGCATTGGACAGAATCTATGGCTTAGTGCCTGGTCAAAGGAAGCAAAGCTCATGAATGAGTTCACAGAGTGGAAACAAATAAGAAACAATAAACTTAACGTCTATGGATTATTGGGATTAATTCAAGGTAAGGAAAGAAAAAGTCCAGCTGCTTCTCTTCTTTCTTTCTGGCCTAAATGATTCACAGACAAGCATCTGGGTGTCATTTTATTTCAAATAGGATCTATGCCATGATTTTCAGATATTTTGTGACAATTTAAATGCATATGTTTTTAATTTGCCATGTTTGAGTAAACCAGAACTTGTATGTGGCAGTTACATGGCCCACACTAAATAATGTATTTGTCCATTTAAAAAGATATTATTATCCCCATTTTATAGTCGAGGAAACTGAGGCTCATATGTTTAGTCATTCAGGACAAAGTCTTCATTACATGGCTATTTATTGTATGTGAGTGATGGGAAGATTAGTGAGTCTATTAAAAACTACATTTTAAGTAAAGTTTAAAACTATGTGGCAAGCAATATGTGCTATAAAAATAGTGAAAGAAAGCACTGTGAAGATTCAGAGCAGGGGAAAGCTGTTTTTGTTCAAGAGATTAAGGTAATTTCCAAGGAATAGTTGACATTTGAAGTGACACTAAAAAGATGGATTGAATTTTGTCAGATTGAGGTCACAGAGGTGAGAAGGTGGTAGATGTAGAGAAAAAGATGTGAATAAAGACAGGGATGGGGAAGGTAAGGAGGGTGTAGGCATGCATGAGGATGTCTTCAGGTTATTGGTAGGGCAATAAAAAAAACGAGGGGGGAAGGTAGTTTGGAGATGTGTTGAAGATGATAGTTGGAAAGACAACTGGAAAAATATGTCAATTTGAGGAAGTTAAGTGACATAATTGGAGTTATTTTTCTACCTAAGAATAAATTATCAGTGTTGAAAAAGACAGATTTTTATTGAAGGAATTAAAGTCAGAGACTAGGGAAAATTTGCAATTGGTAGGGAAGGAATAATTCAGTATCTTCAGGGGTCTTGGTGGGAGATAATCTAGTACAGAAAGATCTCTTACCTGATCCATCTCTGAGCCACCCAAAACATCTAGTCCAGTGCTAACTAGTGAATAGGGAAGAGAATAGGATTGAATAAATAAAGGATGAGTGAATCAAAAAATAAATGAATGGTCGGAGAGCTGCCATAGGACTGGAGAAAAGGGATGGATAGGGAAGACAACTGCAGTGAAAACATGTGTTAGAATTGGTGATTTGAGGGTAAGTAAGAAGAGGGCATTGGACGTGATTTTAAAGGTCAGTTTGTATAATTGGAGAACAATAAAGAGAAAAGCAAGGAAACCAGGAGGAAGTCTTAATTGGTAGAATAGAGAAATGGTGAATTCAATTTTGGACACATTTGATAGGAATTGTGGATGCATTTTTCTGCTGTTTTTTACCCTACTACATTATCCTGCCGTTATAAAGATATACAGTTATAAAGGACATCATAAAGTTAATAGGTTGCTAAAATTGTGTAAACCTTGTTGTTCTCTTATCTTTTGTGTATCTCTCGAGAGCACATGCCTGTGAATAAGTACAGCCTGGCTTTGATAGCATGGCAGCCTATCACACCATCTATGTTTATTTCCAGTGCACCATATACATTTAAACTCAGTTTGGGCCACAGTTACACATTTTTAAGTTTGGTATTTGAATTTCCCATTAAAAAATCAATGCTACTATAACAACCTTTTGAGAATTAAAATACAAAATTCCTTTAAGATGTTAACATGCCCATAATGATTTAGGTCTCCTTGTCTGCTCCGGAGCCTATGTGCTCACCAGAGGATCCCTGGCTGCCTCTCGAACTCTGCATGTTCAGCTATTGGATAATGTGCTGCACCTCCCACTCCAGTTTTTTGAAACCAATCCCATAGGCCAGATCATTAATCGGTTCACCAAGGTAAGTAAAGCCATACTTTATTAAATACCTAAAAATGATGATCTGTATTAAGTACTTTATAATCTCATTTGTAAAATAATATCCTAAAAATATGGAGTTATGTTTAGTATAAATTTCATTGTTATTTTATGTCTGATTCTTGGGACATTTATGATTGCTATGTAATAGTATCACATCTTATGCACTTAATTTAAAAAGCCCTTGAAAATTGCTCAAATAATCCAGAAGAACATGTGGTTTGGTGTCTACAACTCCAATTCTTACACACATTTAGTTTGAGAGTCAGTTGTTCAGACCCAGATGAAGAAGAAAATGTAAGTCTATATTGTGGTATCTGGAATTTTAAACATTCTGCCTTTTAGAAAGCTATTGACTCCCTTATAGTAAATGGGCAATGGGTGGAGCTTCCCAGTGTCTCTGCTTACCTATAGGGTTTTCCTCACTGTGTTTACTATTAAGCACTTATAATTGCATAGTCCAATAGAAAAATAATGCAAGCCACATAGGTAATGTAAAGTTTTCTAGTTGCCACAATAAAAAATAAAAAGAAAGAGTTGAAGTAATTAATTATAAAATATTTTATTTACTACAATGTCTGAAACATTGTATGAAACCAAAGTCAATATGAAATTATTAACTAAATATTTTACATTCTTTTTTTTCCTACAAAATCTTCAAAATCTGGTTTTGTATTATATTCTTGCAGCACATCTTAATTTTCAGTAGCCACATTTCAAGAGCTCAAGAACCATATATTGTTAGTGCTTCCAGTATTAGACAGTGTAGGTCCATAACCTTAAAATATGCCAATATATTTATGTATATATGTTTAAAAAATTTGGTGTTTGTATAGGGGAAAATGAGGATAAAATATGAAAATGTAAATGAAAGTATTCAGCATAATAGATGCTTAATCATAGCAATGGACATGCTGTTCTTTGAGAATTTATAGAAGAATTTGATTACCAGTATTCAGTTTATCTCAGTGGACATTTCTCTATGACCCTGCTGAATAACTATCATTTTTATACAGTAACACATCAAACAGTTGGGTCTTAAACACACCAGAATATAGTAGGTGTGTTCCAAATACTTGCAGGGAAGTTGTATTTAAATATGATGCTTTTACACTCTTTGGTGTATGAGATGATCAAGGAAATCCCAAAGCAAGACTGGGAATAAATGGAATTCTATCCCCACTCTTTGTGTCAGTTCATACTGAACTGAGTAGTGCATCTCTTCAAAGTTGGGTTCTTCCATTCCCTGGGCTCTCTCAGGTCATACCTTATACCACATAGACTTGATTAAATTATGTGAATTGATGTATGACCTTCACGTCCTTCCCTCATTCTTATTGTCCACTTCCATCTTTTGGTTTCTGATTTTGTAAATGAAGATTATTTTGTTTTCCCCTTTTCTGATATCAGTAGGATCTGGAAACCCAAGAAGACTCCTGGATATGCTCTCAGTGGATAAGAATGACCAGGAGTGTTCTACAATTTTTAAGTAGTGAATAGTGGTAGGCCACTGCTCCTGAACGCCTGAACTACTGGGGCTTGGACTCTTTTCTGAACAGAGTTTGGCTTTACTCATATAAATTAGGTGCTGTGAGGCTGTCATTGGGAAATACAAATTGCTTGACCATAGACATCATGTTCCTAAAACACCCTCTTAACTGATCACAGGAGAAAATGTACAGGAGTGGGTTGGAGAGAGCAAAGACCATGTAGTTATACTTATTTAATAATCAGATTGTTATGCCTGGGCAAATGTTTTTCTTATTTTGAATGATGTATTTTTTCTTCCCTTTATTTCAAACCATAAAGAGTTAAAAATAAAATGACCGAATATCAAATTTTTTAGGACATGTTTATAATTGATATGCGTTTCCATTACTACTTACGGACCTGGCTGAATTGTACGTTGGATATTACTGGAACAGTTTTGGTCATTGTGGGAGCTCTACCACTCTTCATTCTGGGGGTTATTCCCTTGGTTTTCCTCTATTTCACCATACAAGTAAGTCCATGGATTTATGTGTATTAATAATACAAATATAGTTTCAGACCCACTTCAATTGCCTAGTAGTCCAGGTTCTCCAAAAATCAGACTCCAAGAATGTATTAGGTATGCTAGAAAGTGACAGGGGGAAATGCCTGTAAAAGCTGAAGGAGAGGGCACAGGAGAGGCTGGATGAGCCCTCAGACAGCCATGCAGGTCTGATTCCTGTGAGGGAGAAGAAGGAGGTAGAAGGGTTGGGTAGGAAAAGTCCTGGACTGCAGAACAGTTCCATAATGTTCAGTTGAATGGGAAATGCACAAACTGTTGCCCATTGGTGGTCCCGTGTGTCCCTGGAATGGGCCTGCTTTAGCCACCCCCTGCTTTGCTCAGGCATTGCCTGGGAGCAACCTATGGGAAAAGTGGCCTCCATGCTAAACAGGAGTGGAACTGGATGGGCAGCTATGACCATCTGGGCTGTCAGTCAGCTCTGCTCCCTGCAGCAGAACTGAGTTGTGCATCTTTATGACCACCACAAAACCTATGGATTGTTTACAGGTTAGCAGTGCATTATTTTGCCTGCATGTCCAAGAAAGAAACAGATACTGCCTTTTCGTCCTGTTATCCCTGATATCAGCAAACTATTGATACTTACAAATCTTCTTTCTATTCCAATTAATATCCTCAACCAGTTTGAATTTCATAATTATGTCACTGTGAGGCTACAGTGTAAATGAAATTTCTTAACACCTTTAAATTAAAAATAAAAGTATTTTGAGGCTTTTTACACAAAAGGATGCAGTTCTTGTAGTTTAATGCATCCTACATTTTTAAATTCATATAGGAGTTTAATCCACCAAAACCTGAATGTTAATCATTTTCTCATTTCTACACCTATGCTATCATCCTTGCTCCTACTTCCTATGTTTTCTCCATTCTCTCTGCTTGTCTAGATCTTACTTACCCTTCATGGTGTAAGTCATATTCCATTTTCCGTGTGAAGCATTCTCTTCCAAATAGTGCAGAGACTTGACTCATCCAGGTATTATGAATTGGAATGCTGGTAGTATTACAGACTTTTTTTTTAGTAGACCACAAGTTGTCTCCTCAATAAGACTCTAAGTCCTCATGGGCAGACCCTATCTTTACAAAAAAAAAAATCTAGAAATCGAGAAATGGTATTGAGAGTCAATTGTACCTGCTCTAAAAACAAAAATAAGTCATGTCACAAATAGGAATTTATGGGATAGTTTTGTGGTTGGTAAACTATAACAGGGTGACTGGGAGTGGTAAAGAGTCTAGAAAACTCTTCTTAGGGGAAACTGTTTAGAGTGAGCCCTGAATGTAGACTCAGGAGCCTCAAATTGCAGTCAGTTTCCTGACTCCTGTGTTTGGTGCTTCACTTCCCTTTCCAGTCTTTACTGCTTTCCCCTGTGAAATAAGACGTTTGCTTTAGATAAGCGCTACTCAAACTGTGGTCCCTGTACCCATGGGCCATACCCCAGACCTACTGAATCAGAACCTCTGGTTGGTACCTCTTCTAAAAATAAATCATAATTTATAACCAAGATATATGCAATTTTTATTTATTTATCATAACCTAATAAAGGTGGGGGAAATAAAAAATCTCTCAGGGTGGGGCCCGTTAATCTGTGTTTTTAACAAATCCTCCAGGTGGTTTTTACTGAAGTATGAGACTCATTGTTCTAGATCAAAGATTCTCAAACTAAGTGTTATGGACAGTTTCATGGCAGGACTTCAGGCCTTCTGTAATTCACTGAAATTTTATGAAAATTTATGACAATCTTTTAAATCTCCTTGCACCCCGAATACCATAATCCTTTATTTTCTCCAGAGCACTAAGCATAGAGCTTATAAATTTATGAATTGGCCAGCTCCTAAACCATATGTAGCTTCAGATATGTTTTTGCTTAGCTTGCTCACTGTTTTACCTAAACAGAGGCCTTTTAACATCAGAGATTTTATGTAAAATTACAGATCCAAAGATTTTCCTGAAAAAATTGCATGATGTAGCAACTCTTGGTTTTTCATTTCCAGTTTGTAGCAGTTAATCAGGGGCTGATGAAAGATGGTGCAGTTAACTCAGGGCACTCTCCCTCTGGCTCTACACAGCCTCCGCCCATCCCCATCGTCCTTAACCCAAGTCAGAGGGGAAGTAGCCAATTATAACTGGCTGCCCTTGTGTTTTACATAATAAAAAGATAAAGAAAATTTTCCCATAATTTTATTTAGCTACAAAAACACTATTGTTTGTGCAGTTAGTTGGCATCCTTCATTAATGGGTTAACTGCCTGGTTGCATTTTCAACATGTGACATAGAGCTTTTGCCTCTGTAGGGACTCAGTGATGGTTGTTTCAGAGCATTATCGAAGTGAAATCTGGCCCAATTACGTTCTAGTTGTGTTGTCCAGAATTTGAGCTTTTTACTGTTACAAGAATGTAGTTGTTTCCTAGGGCTCCTGTAACAAACTTCATGGCTTAAAACAACAGAAATTTCTTTCTCTCACAGTTCTGGAGGCCAAAATTCCAAAATCAAAGTGAAGGCAGGGTTGGTTTCCTTCTGGAGGCTCTGAGGGAGAATCTATTCTGTGCTTCATTCCTAGCTTCTGGTGGCTGTCAGGGTCCCTGGCATTTTCCTTGGCTTGTAGATACCTCTCTCCAGTCTCTTCTTCACCTGGCTTTCTCCTTGTATCTGTGTCTTCTCCTTTTCTATTTTTACCAGGACATTCAGTACTGGATTTAGGGCCCATCCTAAATCCAAGAAGATCTCAACTTGAGATCCTTAATGACTTCTGCAAAGATCCTATTTCCAAATAAGGTTACATTCACAGGTACTGGAGGTTAGAACTTGAACTTAACATTTTGCGGTCACTCTTAAACCCACCACATTAGTGTCTTGCCATTTTCAAACCATTGAATCAACTTCTTCTACCTCTTTCCAACTGCCTCATTCTGTCTTTGGTTTAGAGATATTATGTGGCAAGCTCTCGGCAGATTCGGCGGTTGGCAGGAGCATCTCACTCTCCTGTCATTTCCCACTTTAGTGAGACTTTAGCAGGAGTGTCCACTATCAGGGCATTTGGACATGAACGGAGGTTCATCCAGCAAAACAAAGATGTGGTGAATGAAAACCTGGTCTGTTTCTACAATAATGTAATTTCAAACCGGTAAGTCATATCAAAATACCTAGTTCAAGAGTAATCCTTATTTAGGTATCTTGTTCACTGATTTCTGAACAGAAAGTGTTTTGTAATGGCATTTCATCAAATAATTTAAAAAAAGATTAAAGCCTTAAATATTTCTATTATTTAGTATTTCTATAATTAAAGCACTAAATATTTCATCATGTCCTTATATTTAAGTAAATGTGTATCAATTTATATTCATATAAAAAGTACATGCTACTTTACGTGAAAATAAGGTCCCAAGTTTTTTGAAGTTTGTGTAGGATGCTATTAGAATTACTAATGATATGATTCTGTTGCATTTTATATTTGTAGAATATATTTTATTTATATACAATAATTTATAATATTTTGAATTTGAAGGTAAATTTGAAAGTATAATTTCACAAATCAGAGAAAAATGACCCATTAAATAGTAGTTGAGCACATTTTAACTTTTAGAGACTTATTTTATTGTATAAAAAAAGTGTATGTATTCAGAAGATGATTAATTTTCCAATAGCATTTTAAAATATAATGCATCATTTTAGCTAATGTGCTTTCCTTTTGCTTTTTAATTCCAGTCAAGTTTTAAAGCAAAATTCTGCAAAAGTGAAGTGCCTTTTTATATTATATTAAAGAGGAATCCTTTATTATATCATTATGCAACAATCCTAAGTTTGACCGAGTTCTAAGGAAGTGAGAAAAAAAAAAAAAGAAAGTGGCTGTTGATGCTTACTTTCCTTATCCCAGGAGAGAGTTCATCCTAAGTGCACGAAAAACTTTTGCTTCTCAGTTTAGGAATATTTTCCCTTATTACAGGTGGCTGGCTGTTAGACTTGAATTTCTTGGCAACTTAATGGTGTTCTTCGCTGCACTGCTTGCTGTGCTGGCTGGCAATTCTATAGATTCAGCAATAGTTGGTTTGTCCATATCCTATGCCCTAAATGTAAGTAATAACGATTTGTTGGCATATGATATGTTAACAATACAATTAATTAAACTCTCTGCCTGTATGAATTATAGATTGTATTAACTAAGGAATGAGAGACAAATCTGGATTGCCCTGGAGGCTCATTTCTTCCTGTTTTTTACTACTAGGGGGAAGCTGGCTCAGCAGTTCTAAGTCAGCTCACAGAAAGTACAGGATGATACACAAAGCTGAGTGCTCAGAGGCCTGGGGAACTCCTGCTGTTACACAGTTACCCGCAAGTTTCCTGCTCTCCTATCCTTATAGATTTAGAGAGTATAACAGGGGGAGGCCCCTCACTACCTTTGCCTGTCCATCCAGTTTGCCCAGTGAAACAGAGAGATAAGGCAAGCTAAGGGGACAATATATGCTCTGCTTCTTTTTGCTTGTAAGTTTTTCCCTAATAAGCCCTGTTTTTATATTATACTTCAAAGCCCATGATATAAGTGTGTTCATGACTCCTTTATGAAAGAGAAACTTCTATAAACTGCTTAATAAAATTCTACATTATTTAAAAGGTAGTCTAGATAATTTGGGCACATACCCTTAGTTCCTTATCTAAAATCTTGAGGTCACTTGCATTTCAGAATTCATAATTTAGGTTTCTCGAAAGAACATGTGGTACATCTATGTATTCAGCGTCTGGGGCAGAATCCCATAATTAAACCACTTGTTCTGCAGTGAAATGTGTGAATGTACACCCTAACTGGGTTAAATAAATAAAGAGCCGTACATCAGTTCAGATAAGGTTGGCTGTCATTCAGTTTGGAATCAAACTCAAGAAAAAACTGAACTACCAGAGTTTTTTACTTTTAAATTAGGTTTGAATAACAATTTTGAAGAACCTATACTTGGGGGTAAGGCAAAGAGAGAGCAGAGTTTTCAGAAAGTTAGGAGAACCTTCTGATGGAAGGAGGTAGTGAGGAATGCCAAAGGCGACATTGCACATGTTTTTTTTCTCCTTTAGGGTGCACATTTCTGGAAGCATATCCCACCAACCTTGGTATTCATCATTTCTGACAATAAGCATGGACTCCTTTGAAATACGTTGAACTATATTCATTCTATCTTCTGCCAAATAACAAATACTTATATTAGTGAACTTAATATGCTTAAAGAAATACTTACATGTATATATGTATATTGTTACTTCTAAAGTCAAGTAATCATAAGAGATATAGTTTATGAAAACCCTGAAAAGCGAAACCTTATAAAGTATTACGAATATTATGTGAAAGATTAAAGAATATTCATTAAGCTTTCGGATTTTTGCCTCCCAGATTACTCAGTCTCTGAATTTTTGGGTAAGGAAAGGATGTGAAATTCAAACCAATGCAGTTTCCATTGAAAGAGTTTGTGAATATGAAAATATGCATAAAGAGGTAAGCACTCCTAAATAAACATTAAATGGATGCAGGGTAAAGATATGGTAGTGGACCTTGATTTGACATTTAAAATAATAAATTTTAAACAAAACTTGCATTCCCAAATTCATATTATAATATCCTAATAAAGGTGGGGGAAATAAAAAATCTCTCAGGGTGGGGCCCGTTAATCTGTGTTTTTAACAAATCCTCCAGGTGGTTTTTACTGAAGTATGAGACTCATTTTTCTAGATCAAAGATTCTCAAACTAAGTGTTATGGACAGTTTCATGGCAGGACTTCAGGCCTTCTGTAATTCACTGAAATTTTATGAAAATTTATGACAATCTTTTAAATCTCCTTGCACCCCGAATACCATAATCCTTTATTTTCTCCAGAGCACTAAGCATAGAGCTTATAAATTTATGAATTGCCAGCTCCTAGACCATATGTAGCTTCAGATATGTTTTTGCTTAGCTTGCTCACTGTTTTACCTAAACAGAGGCCTTTTAACATCAGAGATTTTATGTAAAATTACAGATCCAAAGATTTTCCTGAAAAAATTGCATGATGTAGCAACTCTTGGTTTTTCATTTCCAGTTTGTAGCAGTTAATCAGGGGCTGATGAAAGATGGTGCAGTTAACTCAGGGCACTCTCCCTCTGGCTCTACACAGCCTCCGCCCATCCCCATCGTCCTTAACCCAAGTCAGAGGGGAAGTAGCCAATTATAACTGGCTGCCCTTGTGTTTTACATAATAAAAAGATAAAGAAAATTTTCCCATAATTTTATTTAACTACAAAAACACTATTGTTTGTGCAGTTAGTTGGCATCCTTCATTAATAGGTTAACTGCCTGGTTGCATTTTCAACATGTGACATAGAGCTTTTGCCTCTGTAGGGACTCAGTGATGGTTGTTTCAGAGCATTATCGAAGTGAAATCTGGCCCAATTACGTTCTAGTTGTGTTGTCCAGAATTTGAGCTTTTTACTGTTACAAGAATGTATTTGTTTCCTAGGGCTCCTGTAACAAACTTCATGGCTTAAAACAACAGAAATTTCTTTCTCTCACAGTTCTGGAGGCCAAAATTCCAAAATCAAAGTGAAGGCAGGG